AAATCGAACGATATATAATTGTATTAAATCAAATATATCTTATATGCATATATAAATTGATAAATATACATATATATACATTTATATATATACATATATTTATTTATTTATATAGATAATTACATAGTTATATACGAGCATATATACAGACAGACATATAATATAATACAACAAAGAAATGAATAAGACAAAAAAAAAGCCCATATGAAATTCTACAAATAAAGGACAAATATATTTATTACAATTACAAATAGTTCAGTTATTTCAAAGTGGTATTTTCATTATTTATAAGATATATCTAAATTATAACAATTTTTTGTATAATCTGTTAAACAGCTTATAAATAATTTAAAATCACATTAAATCGACTTACATAAACTATAAAGTTATTTCTTAGTAAGTATTATTTGCATAAAATTGAAAGCGGATATATACATATGTTTATTAATACAAACCGAATAGTTGCCTCGGCTCATTACTCAAAACAAATTGTAGTCTAGTTTACCATAAAGTATCATAGTGCCATCAAGATTCCTGGGCCTGATTTAAAAATAGAAAAACTAAGAACGACTCCGGAATACTCTGTTTACAGTGCAAAAACAGATTTTCAAGCGAAAGGTATTCCCTTGATTGAACTTAGCAATCAATCTTTGGGTGGGGCTATCATTAGTCCACCTGCAAAATTTGGTGATCCCAGTTAACTTACCTCGGGAAATATAGATTTTTGAGGCTATCCTGAATATTCACTAATATACATATATTACCTAGCTTCAAGATATAAAAAGGTTCAGGCTTATAGATTGACAGACAGCAGCATAGTATTGTACATACTGTGAACCGAGTATAAATATGAGTTAAATGGCATCAAAATACAGTCTACAAAGCGAAATTTTGGGGACACATTTGCTGTTAAGCTTGTAAATAGTATGCCGGCTGGCAGATATCTAAAAGTCAAACTATGAAAAATAACAGATAGAAGCACAATCACAGCAGCACAAACTGTGCAAATTTCTATCTACTTCTGTGTGCGGTGGGCAGTTGGTTAGAACGGGGGGAGGGGTGCGGGGGAGCGCGGCTGTGTTGCCAAATAAGGACAAGAGCCGTTAGTCCGTTAGTCTAAGCAGCTGCGCAAATTTAACTCTCAAACACAACAGGATGTCCGTTTCAGAGCAAAGCGGAAGCTGTACTGAAAATAACACAGCAAATAACTTCTGCAACCGCATTCAGCACGCTTCTCTGCCCCCGTAAACACACACCCACACACACACACACCCACACACACACTTACACAAACACAAGCACACGGACACAGACACAGTGCACACAAACACAGCAAAACACACACACAGAGACACAATCACAGTCACCAAAATGAGATCAAGCTTATCCTTAGCCAAAGTCAAAGTTAAGCTCAGCAAATTCTCATTTAGATTAACTATTTGTTACACACGATTTTAGTAAGTATATTTCTCGAGTGCCATTCAGTAACATTTTCTGTGGTTTTCAGCTCACAGTGTTTGTGGTTGTTCAAAACTTTACAGAACTTAAAGGACAATTTTCAATTTTTTATTTTGTTTTTTAATTACGTGCTCACAAGGCAAATGCAGACACTGAAAAAAAAATTTTATTTTTTATCCCTGAACCCATTAATAATGGGTAAAAAGGGTATAATGTATTTGTGCAAATGTATGTAACTGGCAGAAGGAAGCATCTCCGACCCCATAAAGTATATATCTTCTTGATCAGCATCAATAGTCGAGTCGATCTAGCCATGTCCGCCTGTCTGTCCGTCTGTCCGTCCGTCCGTCTGTCCTTATATATGAACGCAAGGATCTCAGAACCTATAAGAGCTAGATACTTGAAATTTTAGCTGTAGGTCCACCTACTGCCCGCGCAGATCGAGTTTGTTTCCGATATTCGTGAACTTGCCCCGATTCCAAGTAATCGATAAAAATCGATATCGAAATCCTGTTTTTTGCGCAATTTTGGTAAATAATAAGAACTAGAGTCGCCAAAATTGACATTTAGCTTCTAGAATAGTATAAATGTATATATATCAAGTATCTTTCATATTATACCTATCGCCTTTCAGGGTATCCCCTAGTCGGGAGCCGCCGACTAGAACCTCTTACTTGTGCTGAATAGCCGTAATCGATACGAGTCCAAAATGTTGAATTATTCAAAGATCTGACTTAATATGTCCCAAATAAATCATTTTTCAACCTAACTTCAAGCCCGTCCTTACGACTGCGGATTTTGTATTTCCCAGCAAACTCCGCTTCGCATTCGGACGAATAGTCTTTGGTTCCCATAAGATCCCAACATCCTTGTTAATCATATTTTTCGAACAACTTGTGATATTCGCCTGGTAATTCAGCAGGAATTTTATGAAAAACTTGGTAGATTGGTAGCTTTTAATTGTCCACAAAGCATTTTATATAAACTAATTTATGTATATCTTTAAATATTCTTATAGCTGCTGTTGCTGATTTGAAATTAGATTGGTAATTTATTTTACTTAAAGTTGAATCGATTTATTTTTCTTTTCAAACTTAAACTCACTTTTAAATGGTAAAGTCTATAATAATAAATATATATATAAAGAATAAAATTGAAGTGCTCTAACTTAAGACAAATTGCCAAAAAAAAAAACGTTGTTGATAAAAGGGAAAACAATTGAAAACTTCAAAATCTATTTCAACTTGGGAACAGATAAAAAATATTATAAAATATAAAAATGCAAAAAGAACGAAAATTAAGAATTTCAGAATCTGCATTTTGATAACAGTTCAAAAATACCTCCGGTGGGAGTTAATCAAAAAATGTCGACAGCTAAAATCTTAAATACGAATATAATTGAAATGCCAAATCAATATATGTAGATGAATTCCCATGATTACAATGGGAAAGTGTTGATAACCACAATTCGTAAATGGTGCTTATTTTTTTGCATGATTGAAAAACTGAATGCCCGAAAGCTAAACAATCGAGGCTGACAACACATGAGCTGCGCCTCAGCAATGCCTGTTAGATAGAATTCATTATTATGCTTAATTTAGAGACAAAGGCCAAAGGCGGAGCAAATTTAATAATAACATTTGAAATATGTCTTGCTTTGTATGTGTGTGTGTGTGGTAGTGTGTGTGTGCGGGAGTGTGTGTCGGTGTATCTATGTGCAGGCATCGTACTTACTTTCACTTTCAATCAGCGCCAGGAGGCCTGAAGCCGCCTGACCCTTTGCAGCCGTTACCGTTGCCGTTGCCGTTGCCGTTGCCGTTACCGTTAGCCGTGCAATGGCCCATGGACAACAGCATCTGCCAATACAAAATTATGCGGCACATGCCCACCACAAACCCCCTGAACGAGCGAACGAACGGCCGTGAGGCATATTGGCGGCAAGGGTTGAAGTTGGCAGCGCCTTCAAAAATTGACTTTTAATGAAAACAATTGAAAATTCTCAGGCAGTCAGGCAGCCTGATAGTCAAGTTGGCTGGAAAAGGCAACGACTCCTGCCCCACTATCAAACAGCTCGACTGCTGAGCTACTCGCCTCCTCGTCTCCTCGTCTGGTCGTCCCCCCGTCTCCTTGTCTCCTCGCCTCCTCGCCTCCTCGCCTCCTCGACTGCTCGACTGGGCTGCGGTTATTAATTTCAATTAAAGCATTTAACCGGCAAGCCCAAACAGCCGGCAATATCCTTTTTATTTGGGGCTTCTGTTTACAAAACCGCCAAGAAAGCAGCGCATAATTTTCTAACAACAGCCCCGTCTTGCCGCAAGCACCCCCCGCCCCCTCCCCCACCGAGCCGGCACGCTCAATTGCTCGGCCCAGTGGCACATGAATTAAGGCGTGAAATATTCGCGCCAAAGTTTCGCTTTCGTGTCGGACTTAAAGTTTGCTCCTCGCCCGAGAGGAATAGAAATAGATTGGAAATCTATGCACTTGCCAGGTGATCTAATCAAAGAGTTTTGCTTACAATAATTTGATTAGCTTCAACTGAGCCAGCGACCAGATCTAATTAATTAAAACAGCTTCTGTCCTGAAATTGTAAATATCCGCCTTACCCTGATTACATCATAATTGGCCAATTCTTAAAAGCCAAACAACTTTAATGATGCCTACTCTTTAGTTTCTGAATATGCAGTAAACACATTTAAAATGTGCAATAACTATTTACTTCAGAGGCAGATGATATTGGGACAGGGGGCGAAATGCAGCGAGGAAGGAGGGTCAAGTGAGTGCAAGGGCGGGGTTACTTATGGAGAGATATTTATGTGACTCGACCCGGTTGCTGGCAATTTTATCGGCCAGCCGTTAACTTTATCAACTTGTATTTTAATTTCGTTGTCGTTTTCTTCCTATTTGCTATACCCTGCATATGAGGCAAGTTGAGGTATATGCAACTGAGTTAACTTGGTGCACAATAACTATTTGTATTCAATACATATTTTATTAATACTAACTAATATTATCAAATATCATACAAGAAAATTTTCTGTTTTATTATTTAAGAGACGAAAAATTAGATATTATCATTTTTATAAATTGCTGGAAGATAGACAGGTTAAATCAAATAGATCTGAACCCATTAAACCGAATTAGTAGCCCAAGAAATGCCAAACATCTTTTTAAAAAAAAATCAACTTTTCTATAAAGAAGAATATGTGAATATAATTAACTTAGCTTAATAATAAAATGCATTGTTCTATTGAAAGTGATCAGAAATGTGAAGAACCAGAGTTCGAAAAAGTATGTTGCGTTCGCAGCCTTGACTAAAATTGTCTTATTTAAACTTATTAAGTTATTGCTTAAGCAGTATTAACAATAAGTAAATATAAATATTTGCAGACTATTGTACAGGGTATCGCGTAGTCAGCACCAATTGCTACCAATTGAAGGCTGCGGCCAGTCAAACTATTTGAAGTAAGCGAGTTGTGCTGCTTGGTTTGTAGCTCGAACTTGGCTCTCAATATATAAAACTTTACGTTCAGAATAGAATGCGTCAGATTTTCAGTCGTTTTTCCGAAAATCATAAATTCACACTAACACGCAGATTGGAAATATAAAATTATAGATAGCAATTCGGTTGCTTGGCATTTGTTTAAGAGCCGGTAACCACACCGGTAGCCATTGGCAACCTACGGCGTTGTCATCGCCTCCGTCAATAAAAAAACAACAACAATAACAACAACAACCGCAACAATAACAAGAGCAACTGCTCGGCTAGTACAAATCATAATCAAAATTTAAAAGAGCTCGCAAGCGTCCGCTAGAAAAAATAGCTGGAAATCCGACAAAATGGTAAGTTCTGATCTGTGTTTTATCAAAACATTCTTTAACTCGAATTTTGTTTGCCCTCTTGAGTTACTTAGCGGCAAAGGCAGCGGCAGCTGTGCGAGTACTTACTGCCCGAAAACATCTTTAACCTTGTCCCGTTGTCCCGCTTTGCTGCAGCTCCGATAGGAAGCAGTCGAGGCAACATGGTTTGCTCTTTGCCCTTTGCCCGTGGCCGATTTGGCCCTTGGCCTTACCCCGCTTGCAGCTGGACTCGGCCTCGGCTGCATTGGCATATTCAATTTTTCATGCCAAGCCAGGCTGTTGTGTTGCAACAACAACATGCTGTACACACAGTAAATACACAAACACACACACACACACAGAGTCTCAGTTGCAGCAACGCCTCGTGCCTACTGCTGTAAAATTGCAAAAGAATTGTGCAGCGCGTTAAATCTCAACAGCAGCAGCAGCAGCAGGAGCAGCAGGAGGAGCAGCCCGCGTTGCTGCTGCAGTTGCTGTCGTTGTCCGTTTTCGACAATTTGTATATTCAAGCACACTCACTCGCACACACACACACACACACACACACACCTACCCACATATAATATATATGCCTCTATATGTATACTATTATTATTTATGAAAATTTTACGCCTTTTGCCAACACATTGGCCAAGGCGAGGCGAGGCGAGGCAAGGCGAGTCGAGGCGGTCGCGACGCGCGGGCTTCGAAAATTTTTGAATAATTTGCAGTCATAAAATATGCAATAAGCCAACAGCTGTTGTGAAATTGTTTTGAAAGCCGCGCCATCACATTATTTAAAACGGCGTCGTCGTCGTTGCCGTCGCTGCCACCGCCCCATACTAGAGGCGCCACTGCTTCATGCAGCATTCCGTGCTGCTGCTGCTACTGCTGCTGCTTCTGCTGCCGTTTGTCCTGTCCTGTCCTGTGGCGCCCTTTTAAGGATGCGTTGCGTTGCGAAAAACTGCTTTAGCTCTTGATGCTCGTTACGCCAGAGCGCGGGTGTACACGAAATCGAATTAAACATTAAGCATTCAAGGGTTATTCAAGCGGCATTCAGGCCCAGGCCCCAGGCCTAAGCCCAAGCCCAAACCCAAGCCCGTTGCTGCCACATTAATGCCACAATTAGTGCAACAAACTCGGCTTTTGCATTTTTCCCGAATCAAATTTATTTATCTGCCGCCTTAACATATCTCAAAATACATAATATTTATGCATGTCTTTCGCATTTTCATTTTTTTTTTCTATTTTTTTTTTTATAGGGTAAAAAATTATATATATATACTATTAATTGATTGTAATTAATAATTGTTTAATTTCTCTTTTTTACAGCCACCAAAGGGTAAAAAGGGCAAAAAGGGCAAGAAGCTGCCAGGTGAGTAGCTGCAAAGCAGCCTGCATATTTTGTATTGCTTTAATAGTCTGAATTAATTTTCTATCAGAGCTTATTACCTTATTATATTAATTGAACAGTATTTCAGCTATATAAAAGAGACGAAACACCTTTTAAAAAAGCTTTAATCCTGAAACTTTGCAAGCGCAGCCAACTTAACGAACTCACATTTAGAGAATGTTACGTATAAAATGTTAAGGTTATGTACAATGCATATATAGTTCCGCTTAGGGTTCGAACCAGCTAACTGCCTTTAGGTTTGTTGCGTGAACCTGGTTTTTCACATCCAGAAACCTTTAGAAATGCAGATTGGTTTACAAAGAGGCGACACCGTTTTGTCTTATTGCAGTCATACATATTTACCAGCCAGATAAACTAGCTTGTAAATTTTGACAATTTGGTAAAGTAGTTGGTAATATTATAAAATATTATAAAACGGTGGGCATACGTCTTAAATGTGCAGATTGGCGAGAATTTCTGTATGTGCCTGAAATTTAAAATGTTCGCAATGCACTCTCGGTTAAGTTAAGTACCAAAAGGCGCTCCAGCATAAGTAATTAATGTGACTGGTAAAGTTGTGGGCCCGCCCTGCGAGCAATGGGTCGTCAGTTGGGCAGCAAAACAATTTGTCAAATAATGATAATCTGAGGCTTGGTCAGCAGGAAAACAGAGTGTGACAAGTGGCGTCCATGTTGGTCACATGCTCAATACAATTTAATTGTGCTGGCCCAGCCCGGTCGGCACAGTTGGCCACATGCTCCACGGCCTGGCCTGGACGCCCATCGAGAGCGGAAAAAAGGCGCACTTAATTTCCACGAGTGAACAAACCAGCTCGCAGCTCGGCCTCTAACGCACATAATTGTTTCTATGGCCGGCGAGCCTTGGAGAATGCCTGGTTAAAGTTTGGCTGCAGCCGCTGCCAGGACCTGGCACAGGGACAGGGTCAGGAAGCTGAAGGCGGGCGGCGGGCGGCGGGAGGCGGGAGGCGGAAGGCGAGGCTCGGTACCAGCCGGTCAACGATGCCAATTACACAAACCAATTACAGCAGCGACTGTACACATGCGGGCACGAGTGCAGTCCTAAAATACACACGCACACACACACACACACACACAACACACACACACACACACATCGCACACATTAATGGACAAGACATTTGCGCTACATTCTTATTAAATTTTTCAAAATAGTTGCTGCAAAGTTAAAGTCAACTCTGAACTGGTCCGTTTGTTCCATTTCGCAGTGCTCATCGATGGCGTGGACACCTCCGCGATGACGCGCGATCAGCTGGAGGCGTTTGCGCTGCGCCTGAAAGCGGAAATGGATCGGGAGCGGGAAGAACGCAACTACTTTCAGTTGGAGCGCGACAAGATACGCACCTTCTGGGAAATAACGCGCCAGCAGCTGGGTAAGTGTGCGCCTCGATGGGCAGCAGCTGCCAATATTAAAACAATAAACATATATCCGGACACCGCGCACAGAGGAGTCCAAGTTTGAGCTGCAGCAAAAGGATAAGGAGATCGAGGCGACACAGGATCTGGCGGACATTGACACCAAGCACATTATGCAGCAGATGAAGCATCTGCAGTTCGAGAACCATAGCAAGCTGGGCGAGGTGCGCGCCGAGGCCATGACCCAGCTGAAGGTGGCCCAGGAGCATCATCTGCTGCAGGAACTGGAGCTGCAGACCGACAAGCGCCAGCTGCGCCGCATTGTGCGCGAGCGCATCGAGATGAGCGATATGCAGCATCGCCAACTGGAGGCACACTTCAACCAGCAGCTGCTGTGAGTATCAGCTCCACTTGCCATTCGAATACCACAACCAATACCCCAATCCCAATCCAATTCAATCCAATTGAATCAACCGCACAGAGAGCAACGCCTCTTGTTTGAGAGTGAGCGCAAGGATAATGATCGCCTGCACGAGGAGAAGATGAAGGAGCAGCGCAGCAAGCTGGAGCTGTTCTTCAACTCGCAAATGTTTGAGGTAGAGGAGCGCAAGAATCAGCAGATTAAGGACCTGCAAGATCACCACGATCTGGCATTTAACGACATGAAAAACTATTATAACGACATCACATTGAACAACCTGGCGCTCATCGGTAGCATGAAGGAGCAAATCGAACAGCTGCGTCGCCAAGCAGATCGCAGCGATCGCATAGCCGCCGAGGCGACCACAGAGACGCGCCGGCTCAAGGAGCCGCTGGAGCATGCCAAGACGCATCTGAAGGAGCTGCAGCGCAAGCTGGAGTTCTACGATCGCGACAAGCTGCAGCTAAGTCGCATGAAGAAGAGCAACATCATCTTGGAGAAGAAGGTGAAGAGTCTGATGTGGGAATCGGAGACACTCTTGCTGCGCAACGATGCTCTCGTTGGCGAGCGAGCCAATCTCAAGGCTCGATTCAACGAGGTCATCGTTGAATTGCAGCAGAAGACTGGCCTCAAGAATGTCCTGCTCGAGCGCAAGATCGCAGCCCTGATGCGCGAGGACGAGAAGCGCAGCATAATCATGCGCAAAACGATCGCCACCTGTGCCCCCGAATTCGCCGACAAGCTGCAGAATGTGGAGAAGACCGTCAGCGATGTGGTCGACACCAAGAACCAGACCATTATCGATCTGCGCTACGAGCTGGCCAAGGCCTGGAAGGCCCACGATGACCTGCTCGAGACCTACGAGTGCAAGCTCAAGCAATACGGCATTCCCACCGATGAGCTCGGCTTTCAGCCGATACGCGAACGGACCAACCAGCAGCTCTACATATGCGGCCCCGCCGGCATTGTCACGGAGAACAAGTAATCCGGCCCAAGCATGGGCCATACCATATAGGCCACTGGCCACTGGCCAGTTAATTGAATGAGAAGAGATACCCATGCGAATCCGGATGCAGTTAAAATTAGCCAAAGACAACAAGATTGATTGAAGTTCAATTTAGTTTATTTAACTTTATGTCGTGTATAAGTATATATGTATGTATATATATAAATACTTGGGTATACCTGTCTAGGCAGTTAAGCAAGTATATAAAAAGAAAACGTATAAAAAAAGGAGAGTAAAGAGTTACACTTTTTGAAAGCAGTACGTACACACGATACATCTGGTACCTTGAGAAAATGTTTACCAATAATAAGTTTAATACTATAGCGCCGTATTGCTGTCGAGTTCTTTTAAGTAGATATTTTTCTATCATTTTGAATGATCAGTTTTAAGTTTAAAAGGCTATTTTTCTAATTTTTTCTGTTTTTCCTTTTTTTTTTTTTTGTTCAAACCACATTTTCTGAGTGTCGAATATTGCTTATTGAATTGTCGGTAACTATATATGAGTACATGTACTTTATATTATTTAGTGCTAACTAAAACATCGTAACATTAGGCGGCTTACATATGCTAAGTACTCGTCTATAAGTATATTAACGTAACACAAAATATAAGTGAATATAAGAAATAAATACTTGTTTGTGAAAGATTCAATCGTTTGGTTGAACAGAAACTCAAATTTATATATTGATAGTTGCAATTGGATTATATGCCTGCAATTTTTTTTAAATTTTTCCTATATCTTGTTATGCTCGGTTTTCTTTTCTTTTCTTTATTTTTTGTTTTTTTTTGTTTGTTTTTTTTTTTGAATTGGGTTCCTTGTCAGTTTGCGGTTTCGCTTATTTTTCAAATAGATATCACATAAAGTTTTGCTTCTTGTTGCTTCGAATGCGGATTTATAGGTTTGTATGTAGGTGTCGAGAACATTTGATCATTGATCTGATCTGATCTGATCTTAAGCTGTTTTTGATAACTCTTCGTAAATCAGTTGATGTACTTCTTAACAAATCAAATTTTTTTAAGGTTTCACCTACATATTTACAATACGGAATATAACATTATATAGTTTAGTTTATGCTACATGAATACATATATGTATATGTGTATGTGTAGGTGTTTATGTGTGGGTGTGTGTGAGTGTGTGGTGTGTTCCGCGTGTGTGTGGTGTGTTTGTGTGCTTGATAGTTTAACTGTTGCGCTTGTTGTGCCAGCAAGTTGTGTCTTTGTGTTAGTATTCAAATTTCATTTGTTGCTTTTGAATTCTGAGTCTAGGTACTTTTTGGTTACGCTCTTGGTTTTCTCACTTATTTATCTTGTATTTTGTTTTGTTTGGTTTTTTTTTTTGTTTTGCTTTTGTCATTTCGAAATGATTTTGCATTCCAGTCCATAAGGAATTAACTTATATTTAATTGAATCTATATTAGTTAAAGTTTCTCTTGAGTTTGTTCTAATTTTCATTTTAAATAAAAATTTCAAAGCGATCACAACGGTTTACTTCACAGATGCGTGTGGACACATGTCAAAAATGTCCATAGAAATACATATTTCTTATTTTTTCTTTTTAAGTTTTAGTACGTTTTTTTTAACGCTTTATCTATTGCTATTTTTTTCTTTAGTTTTTTCTTTGTTTTTGTTTTTTTTTGTTCTTTCTTTAGATTCCAAATTGTATTTGTTTGATTGGCTTTTTAAAACTTGTATATAAATTTAAATGTTATTAATAAGAATGTCACTTAATTAATGTAGTCGAATTTGTAGTGTTCTGCTGTAATTATTGTTCGGTAATGTTTAGGCGCTTTATAATCTCAATTGTCATATATGCATGTATGTATGTGTTAGCATTAGGACTTGTGCGCATGTGTGTGTGTGTTTGTGTGTGTGTGTATGGCACATTGGGAATTCTTAACTGTATAAACGCCTTCTTTTTTTTTTTTTTTTTTTTTTAAAGTACACACAATTTTCTTATACTTGGCTTATTTTTGATTTTCCTTTTTGATTACACAAAATGTCACAGTATTTTGGGCAGTTTCCGTGAATATGTTTAACAGAAGACCTAATTATAACAATATTAAGATGTATTTTGTTGTTTAAGTTGTTCGTGTGTTAACTTATTGTTAGTTTGGACTATTTTCAATTAGTTTCGATTCGTTTCGTCTCGTTTCAATATTTTATCTAAATGCGTTGTTTTGTTTTTGTATTGTTTCAGTACTTTTACGAAGAAATTCCTTGTATTTAATATGTATGTTTAGTTAAAATTAAAGATTGACTAACATTTTGTTGGTAAGGCAATTTGTTTATCTTTTTCGCTTTGCTCAGATTCACTTGTATTGTATTTTTAATCCAAATTAAATTTAGATTCAGTTCCTTCGTTTTCGAAATTAAAATAGCAATTAAATTCTTTAACTACGCCTAATTACCAATTCAAGTCAAATGCGTACAACAATAGTACAGATCGTTACAATATCAGCGTTACATAGATTGAAAAAAATACCTGTATGTACTAATGTAAGTGGTATGTGCGTGTGTGGAGGTGTGTGTGAGTGTGTGTGGGAGTGTGGGTGTACGTGCTATTTAGGTATGCATGTAAATACTTATATAATTAGTAAACATCAATGGTGCTGTGAGTGTGTGTGAAATAGAGCACACATGCACCATAGAATGCTAGCGTGTGTGTGTGTGTGTGTCTGTGTAGGCAAGTGTGTGTTAGTTTGAAAGAGATAGAGAGCGCAAGAAAGTTGGCTGTGGCATGCGAGTAGATGCACGGTGTATTCCCCGTGACAGGCATCAACAGATCCAGCCTGTTTGATTGCCACCACAGCGCCTTGGATAAGCAGCAGCTAATGATTTCTTTGGTTACCGGAGATGTCCTCTATTTAGTTGTATAGCTGAAGGTGCAGTGCCTGATAGCTTAAAAGAACTTGCCGTGAGCGAAGGCATTTATCAAACGTGGAGTCTGCTCAGTAATACTGCATAGCTCCAATATGTGCTCGTTGCGCAGCTTCGAATAGCTCATGGAGGCATGATTCTGGCGCAAGCTGATTATGATAAATCTGCAGAGGGAGAGAGGGGGACATCAAATGCAATTGGAAAATTATTACAAATGTATTTTACTTGGCATTCATATTTCGTTTTTGGCGATACTCGTCGAGCCGTTGGCATAGTTGATCGGACTTGTTCTTGGAATTGCCACGTGTACCGCGTGGAACCAACACCAAGAATACATCATACGCCTGCTCCAAATCCTGAAGTGCATTGTCGAGCACATCTGTTAGGGTTTGTTTGATTTTGGCGACTTTTTGGTTTTCGCAGCAGGCACGTGCATCATCCACTGACATCTCGGGCATCCATGGTAAACTCTTTAGTTGGCCGCTCTTATCATGCCAAATACGCACGTTCACTTTAGGATCGCACTTAAAGTAGCCAAAGGCTAAAGCAACAACTACATCGAGATATTTTATCGACCGCCAACGGCCAGTAAGAGATTCTATAAATGCAAAATGCGAGTTAGCCACAACAAATGCCGTTCGAATATTATAATTTACTCACTTCCTATGTAGCACATCTCCAGATTAATTGTTATATGCAGGCGCAAGCCAAGTGCCTTGTTGCAGCCGAAAGATTGTTTGTACAATTGCTGAATAAAACTGAGCGGTTTTGCGGGGACAACGCCTTTCGAAATCTGAAGACAACAATATATTAGAGCAGTTAACATTTGAGGGTTAATGTGTTTAAAACTCACGAATTTTTTGCGCTTGACTCCGCGTGTTTCCTGCAGGAGCAACCGTACGGGCTCCACATTGGCTGCACGCAATTCCGAGGGATTGAAAAAACGCTGAGTATAGCTAAGTTGAGCACTGCGATTCGACTTGAAGAGCTTCAGGAATGTTGGCCAGCTTTGCAACAGCTGCTCGTAGCTCATTTTAGGCAGCAGCAAGTTTACAACTTTTGTGTCAGTCATGACATGACGCGGCATATGCTCATAGCTAAGCGACAGCTGGTTTATAATAGGTAGGGCCAAGTGAGGGTTTTTGGAGAGACGAAGATTGGCAATGCCCACAATTGTTTTCTTGTGTTTGACAACAGGCTCCAGACAATTGGGCCACTTGACCAGCTCCTTGGCGGGCGTTGACAGCACACGCAACGCGGCCATAGTCGCCGCTTCAAACTCAACGTTGCTGTAGTGGCAGCGATGCAGCAGTTCGCGGTGCTGGGCCCAGTCGCAATCGTTTAGTGACCACATGTGCAGCAGCTTATCGAGCGGCTGATGCTGGTACCAATCTAAGACAGCCTTGCGGATGGTGCGACTGATTGGGGATTTGCGCTCCATCAGCTTTTGCACATGCTTTACAAATTTGATCACTAACAACAAGTCCTTATCCGTGCGCACGAGCTCGCCAAAGTGGCCGCGCACCACCGTGCGCTGCTTTTCGTCAGTGCGCGTCGACAGGTAAACGGCCAGGACAAGTAGTGCCTCATCGTGGCGCGGCAAATAGCGATCGTTGCAGGCATCTAGCACATTCCTTAAGCACTCCACCAGCTCCGCCCCGCTGACCTCGCCACACAGCTCGCGCAATGCTGCAAAATGGCACTCCACAGTCAGGTCAAACGTTGTGGGGGCATAAACGGGTGCCTCAATCCTTCCTAGGTAGCAGAATCGTCTCAGCTTTTCAATGGCGGAAGGAGCATCTGAGGCAGTAAACAAAAGACAAGCACATGTAATAAGAAACGGCATAAATATGCATGTTGTATCTGTGTAAATGCATATCTATGTGTGTGCATACGTACTGTGCTTCATGTTGTCCTCTGCTGCTAATTTCATTCTCCGACTGGCATTCGAATCCGCGTCTGTTGGCGTTGGTCGATTCGAATCATCTTCCGCTGTTGACAATAATCGTTGCCTCATGCTGCCAGGGCAAGCAGAGAAACTGCCCTGGTCTGAGTTGTCTTCAGATATGGTCGAGAAATTGTTGCTGCAAGCGTTGAATATTTGTGCACTTTCTGCGTCTGTATGTCACTCGATTTAAGATGAAGAGCACGCCTCTTTACCATTTAGCAGCATTTATATGAAGGCAACCATAATTACATTTTCGCAAGCATGAGCGATGTGCAAGTAATCGATGGCATCATCGCTGCTCAACAATTATCGAGTCGCGTTACGATATGTCGATAATTATGTGACTTTGTGCAAGTGCGCAGTGAGTGCTTGGCGCCATATTTAAATGTGCGTTCTCACAACAGGCAGACCGACATGAACATTTAATGCAGCTGATCATTTATAATATATTTTTGCTACAAGCGTCCATGATTTCAATCTACTAACATTATTATATAACATAAAACAAATTTTTTATTGCGATTGCTTTTATTGCCGTGTGCGTGTACTCAAAATAAAAATGTTAGCCGATAGACGCGGAAACTAATTGCGTTATAAATAAATATGCGTAATTAACTGCTTTCCCTGGCCAATCTGAGGATCATAAAAACGAACTGCTTAACAAATATCGATAGCACATCATTTATTTTTTACCGATAGCCTCCATCGATATTAATTGAGCAGTTATTTGCTGTTTTGCCGGCGCGCGTGTTGTTCTCGTGCCACAGTTTGTTTTTGTTGAAAGATCTGGTGATCCAGCGCCTTGGCTAGTGCCATGTTGCGTACGCGTTTATTGCGACACGTGTGCCTGCGTCTTCCACTGCGATGCGTTGCACTTGGGGCTGCTGCTGCGGTGCCAGCGGCACATGGAAGTCTCCATTATGCAACGCCAATAACCAGCAGGAGAGGAATGCCGGCGCTGCTGCCAGTTGCGAGTAGCTACACGACAATGGCAGCCGCAGCAGGAACAAAAGCAGCATCCACAAACAAGAAGCGCTCGCGAAAAGGCAGCGACGGCATCTCAACTATGTCCAGCATCGAGGATTTGTGGTCGCAGCTGGAGCAGCACTATCAGCAGCACAGTGTGCTCCGCTATGAGCACTGCGAACGCGTCCTGGAGCTACTGGAGGCCAATCGTAGCGGGGAGCGGCCGGGACTTACCTCCGGGCAACTGCATTTTCTGCTGGGCGCCTGTGTTCCGGAGCTGCTACCCGTGCAGAGCAGCAGCGAGCGCCTGGAGCTGTTTCGGCGCCTGTGGACGCAGCTGCTCAAAGTGGAGCAGCCCACGGTGTCGCACTATCACACGCAGCTGCAGATGCTGCACCAGAACCAGCTGCCGTTACCCGATCATCGGGCACTGCTCGCTGAGATTGCCATCTACAATGGCCCAGCGGATGCGGCACTGTACAGCGCTCTGCTGGACGTGGCCGGTGCCAGTGGCAACATGCGTCAGGCCACTGAACTGATAAGTGAGATGCGCGAGCGCAGCTTTCCACTCTCTGAGCGCAACTTTCATGCCCTGCTGTTGGCTCATGCGCGCAATGGAGACTTGCCCGGCGCGGAGGCGGTCCTCAACAGCATGCGAGCGGCGGGCATTACACCCACGTTGAGCACCCAGGCCCTGTGCTTTGTCGCCTATGTGGAAAACGCTGAGCTGAGCAAGGCGGGCGAATTGCTCAAGCAGCACGCAGGCAGCTTCAATGCGCCGCAGCTGCTGCAAATGCTGCGCGCCGTGCTGAGCCAGATGAAGGTGGACGAGAACTTAATGCAGCAGCTGATGGCTGAACTGCCATCGGAGTACGTGGATGGCGTGGATGTGCCGCCGGCAATAAACAGCCTCTGCATCCAGCTGCTGCACAAGGGGCAGGCAGAGCTAATGATTCAGCTGATTGCCCTGCTGCCGGCACCCAAGTACAACGAGAACCAAAACATCGATGGCTTTGCGGCGTTGTTGCTGCAGGAACTGTTCCGGGCGCGCACACCGCTCAACCAGATGATTCAGTTTGCCACCCAGTTGCGCCAGCGGGGTCAGAACATACGCGCCTTGGAGGTGCTCGCAGAGCTGGCATTGCGCCGCCAACCGGCCATTGCATTGAACTGTCTGGAGGCACTGAATGCCGCCGGCGAGCCACTGCGTCCGCACTACTTTTGGCCGCTGCTGCTGCAGCAGCACAAGCGCGAGGGCGAGAGCGGCGTGCTCCGTCTGTTGGGCGATATGCAGCGCCTGGGCGTGGAGTGTGACGAGCAAACGCTGCGTCTCTATGTGCTGCCCCATCTGTGGCAGACGCTGCAGCAGCCGCTGCAGGCACTGCAGCAACTCGACGCCGTGGGCGTGCGTGCCTCCCAGTCGCTGGTGCATGTGCTTGCCCAGCAATTGCAGCACCAGCAAGTGAGTGAAGCGCTGGAGCTGCTTCAGCGTTATCCGACGCGAGTTCAGCCTTCGCTACTGCTCCAGCCACTGGCAGCGCTGGCCGTGCACATGCGGGCCACCAAGCGCTACGAACTGTTCGCCCAGCTGACGCAGGCACTGCAGCAGCGGTCGCTGCAGCGCCAGGAGGATTTCGTTGGTTCGCTGCTGCTGCAAATGTGCGCACCACAGACGCGTCTGCGCCAGGAGCCGGCTGCCTTATTGCGATTCGTTCACGAACTGCATCGCCTGCAGCTGCAGCTGTCGCCGGCAGCGGCCGAGTCGCTGCTCAGCTTGTCGAGCAACGGCGATGCAGACACCCGCCAAACGCTGGCCCAAACGCTGCAGAAAATGCGCAATCCCGAGTTGACGCTGCCCGCGGACATAGCTGCCGCGGCTGGCGGCTTCATCAAGCATCCGCGCGACATGTCGCTGGACGAGCTGGAGTGTCATCTGGTTGAGCTTGAGGCCAAGCAGCTGAACACACGCGGAGTCCTGCGGCGCCTGCTGCAGCTGAGCGTGCGCGATGGTCGCCTCGAGCGCGCCCTCGAACTGGTGGCCAAATGCGAGGCGCTGCACGTCCAAACCAGCCCCGGCATGCTAGCATCCATCCTCGACCTGCACATTAAGCTGAAGAATCTGCCGCGCGCTCAGCAGAGCTTGCAACGATTGCAGACAACCTATCCAGGTGATTAACGACCAGGTTCCTTTCAATTTGACACAATTATATGTAAATATGCCTGCAGGCTTCCTGGTGGATGAGCATAAGCTGATTGACTACGCGGCTCTGCTGGTGGCGGAGGGACAACTGGATGCGGCCAAAGAGCTGTTGCAGAAGCGCTCCGAGCAGCACAAGATCACTGGCGGCGACTATGTCATCAAGAATGTCTGGCAGCTGCTCACTAATGTCGCACAAATGGCAGCCAAGGAATCGTCAGCAGCATCCGCAACCACGCCTGAGTCCGCTGGTCGCAGTCTCACGCTTGAAACGTTTCAGTTCCTGCGCAAGCTTGGCTATTGCCAGTCGCACAATGCGCTCCTGGGTCCCGTGGTGCGCGAGTGGCTCCTTCGCGGTGATATGGACGGTGCGGTGGCAGAGTTCCAGCGCCTGGCCACACGCCACAATCACACGCCGCTGCAGTTCGAGCTGCTGTCGCTGCTGGTGAAGCTGAGCAACGGCGACGCAACGGAGCTGGCACGGTTTTCGGGCACAACGAAAGAGTCGGCACAGCAGCATTTGGTCACGGTTACATCGACGGTCAGTCGCGTCCATGGCGCAGCCAACATGAACAGCGCCCTGCTCCTGGCGCTGGCCGAGTCCGGCACTGAGACGCAGCTGCGCCGGCTCATTATCAATCCGGAGTTCCGGCTCAATCACGACCTGCTGCTCAAGAACTGTGAGCACTTGGGCCAGGAGGGCGCTGTGCGCACACTGCTCCGCTTGGCGCGTGGCGTCCGTGGTCTGCAGCGGACCATCGACGAGCAGCGCATTTACGACATGCTGCTGGCCCAGTTCGCCAAGACCAACAACTACGAGGGCGCCTTGGACCTCTACGAGCGCCTGCAGGCCGACGACGAACTGAAGGTATCACAGGAGTTCATCCGAAATCTGGTGAAGCTTTTGCAGCTGAACAACGTAGAGATTCCCAGCAGCATTGCGATGCGTGCTCAGATTAGATAGGAACACATTTTTATATACATACATAATATAAACTTGATTTCTGTTATTGTTTATCTCTTGTATGCAACATAAGTAAATTAACACTTAATATTTATAAGCTGACTTTTGCTTCGAAAACTGTTTCGATATTTATTTCAACAAGTATTCAAGCAAAAGCTCTTCCTCTCTCCACTTAGCCACATCAGAACTGCGAACTTTGAACGCTGCTGTTTCTGGCAGTTTGTTTTATATATATGCAAAGAAACTATATATAATGCATTGAAGAAGGTTTATTCAAAGCCATAAAGTGCTTAAGGCTCATTTACTTGAACACGAAAAACGCGATTTTCGAGCTAATGATGCAGAATTATTTATTATGACAGATTGTTTTTACGATATAAACTTGTATGCATTATTGGGATCTACAGAATTGTTTTTTTTTTTTAACTGTTTGAATCAGAATATTTTATTATACATAACCAAACTATTTAAACATTCTCCGTAAATATCCAATACCTGAAATATGAAGATGAAAGTACCTGGGCAAAGCGTTTGACAGGGTTTCTTCACCAGAAGTAATGCTCCCCTTTATCAAGAAGGTCGTGCATTTCTTGCTCATATTTGGAGTTCTGAGCTCAATAGGCCTGTGAGACTTTACATAATATAACTATCACAAATTTCGCAAAGTTTAATCTTAAGACCTTAAATCGCTTCGTTTGCTTTCGGGACTCGCGTGAAGTGCAGTGTAACCAGATTAAGTTTAAGTTAAGCGAAAGGTGTCAACTGCTTACTGCACTGCTTGCTGTATGCTATCTTTTTGGCATGTGCCAATCACTCGCGACACCTTTGAATTGTCTAAAAAAAAAATATGACAGTAGAGAATTATTGTGAATTGGCAGTAAATGGCTCGACTAGTGAAATAAGCCTCAGGAATTTTCTCAATTTCTTCTTGCCAAAATTGCAGTCGCCAGCTGAGACAGAGCTTGTGTACTGCTCTGGTCAAGTACTTTAAATTCGGGGACTATTATTTTATGTTTTTCTTTTTTGTTACATTCAATATGTATGCGTTAAACAAAACGCCTTTCGCAGCCAAAAAGCTAACCGGCAAGCGAACTGTTGAGCAACTGTTTGCCAAAAGCAAATCGACGCTGCTATCGTGGCGCAATTTTTATAACATTCTGAAGGTGTCTCCGCTGGGTCAACGCGTGCTCCTGCCCATCGACAAGCTGCCGGTGCTGCAGGTGGGTTACCAAGTCCGATGGAAAATGTACCTAATTTTTATTTTCTTATGTAGGGCTGTGAGTACCTATGGAAACTGAGCCGTCACAAGCTGAGCACCGAGGAGCTGGCTACGTTGCAAGTGCTGGCCAGCATTTTGTTCCTGCTGCCGGACGAGGTTCTTGTGGTGCGGAATGCCCGCGAAACGCTGCTGCGCAAATCATTTAAGATATCCAGTGCCTCGCTGGAGCCGATGCTGGTGCATTACTTTAGCCAGAATCTGCTGGAGTTCTACGAAATGGGCGGGCATATTAGCTCATTTAAGTTCCTTATGACCATATCCCAGTTTATAGCCAGCAAATGCGCCATGGGCAAGGCGGTGGCCGTGTGCCTCATGTGGAGCATTGTCTTCGAAATCGCCGGAAGCAGCATTATAATACACCAGCATCGCGATGTAAGCTCAATTGGATCAATCCCTCTAAACACTTCAAACCTACTACAACTACTTCCATCTACTGACGCAGCTGGGTGAGCTGTGCAGCATTCTGGAGCAGGTGCCACTGGAGAACACGCCAATCGATCGCTTTTGCATTTTGCTGCAAACGGTGGGCGTCCTGCTACATTTAATGCTTTGTGGCAACTGGCTGCAGGAGTTCCTGTCCTATGGATATCCGTTCTTCTACTTTCGACTTCTGCCAGCGGATTGCCGCAATCTGCAGGCATGGCTTGACCAGGCTCTGCTGCTCTACAAAGTGCGCCTGCCGGATGCCACGCAGCGCATCCAGTGTGGGGCAAAGAATCTGCTCGCTTCGCTGGAGTATCTGGTTGCCAACTCGGCGGAATGGTGCCTCGCTTGCCGCAGTGGCTCTGATACGAAGAGCCAGGTGTGCGTTCTGGGCGACATAGGTAATAATAAATGACACATTCACATGCTTTATTGTCGAAGCATACTCGTTGTCAATTCCATTTAGCAACTAAATAAACATCGACAAGGCCTTGCATCCATTTCAAATCTTAAAGTTTCTATGCCAAGACACACATCAATTTCAAATACGTATACGGATACGTAACACACACTATTTATACCAAACGTGCTCATTTAGAAACCATTTAGGGAAGCACGCTGTAGAGATTAACTTTCAGTGGAATTGGATATCCGCTGAGTCATCGTCACAAGTACCGACAACATGGACTGCCAGGACAAGGACCCTGCAGAGGAGCCCACCACAGCTGGGGAGAAGACCACCATGAACACATCAATGACAACGGATTCAACATCGATCGATGAGCTCTTCGATTTTATACGGGAAGCCCCCATTGGCGACAGAAACGAACCGACAACCAGTGCCAGCGAACATACCATAACCATGAGCGAAAGCGAGGAGCCTACGGCCAGCTCCTCATTCACCGTTCCCTCGGTCGATGTCCCAAGCAACGAGGGCAACAACAGCTTGGTGGCTGTTGTCCAGCGCAGCGAGTTCGCCAAACTTTTGATGCGCCTGGGCGAGGAGGGAGACGGCGATGCGAACCAGATTGTAATAGAGCTTCTTAACTCCAAGAAGCAAGCGGAGAAGGCCACATCGGTGATCGAGCGCGTATCGGAGAACCTTATGCTCGTGCTGCGCACCCAGACTCTAGCCGAAGCGGGCATTATAACAGGCAATGAGCGATATCGCTCCTTTAAGTCTGTCCTACAGAACTATGCCAAGCTCTACGCGGCTAAGCGATTCATTGAGAAACTCCCTATGCTGGGACTATCGCCACAGTCGAGCCAGGACCACGGTCAGGATCAGAATGAGAACGACAAGACACTGGCTCGCATGGTGGCCGACGAGGTACTGCAGATACCCGAACTACTACGCCAGCTCTGGGCCTCCCTCGAGAAAATGGAGTTCTTCAACGAGGACACTGCCTACAAAGTTTACTTGGAAGCTCGCCGCCATCCCCAGGCAAAAATTCTCCGTGAACTGATGTTAACACGCATATCGCGTGTCTACCTCTGCATTGTCAGCTCTGCATCCTTCCTCGACTTTAGCGAGCACGAACTAATCCACGTGCTCAACAACTGCTACCTCAGCGTGAACTCCGAGATAGAGGTGAGCAGAGATGATGGTCCATCACCTAGATCGATGGAAGTGGTACATTTATTTTTCATCTCGACCTCTAGATATTCCTCTCGGTCATACTCTGGCTGGAACACAATTGGTACGAGCGCAAGAGCTGCGCTGAGCGAGTCTTGAGTGGGGTCCGATTCGGCCTGATGCCCACCTGGTACCTTTATACCCTGGATAGAACAAATCGTTGCAATCACTTTGCCAAGGTCATCTATAGTAAGGGTGTTCAGACCCTTCTAGAAAAGGGACTAGAGTAAGTGCATGTTCGGCTCAACTACCCATCGCTTTGTTTATTGAATCTATTTATTCCATTACAGGGAAGCCTTGGCTCTGCGTTACAAAAACTCGCGTGCCACCAACTCCAATGATATAGAGATTCCTTTGCCTCGTGACTGGGTTGCCGATCCCGAGTGTCGCCATCATCACAAGTGTCATTGTGAACGATTTATCTATCCGACATATGACGTATTCAAGGATTATCTGGCCAGGATCATACGATCCGCACCGAATTACTGGCGCACACTTCGACCTGCTCAGGAAGTCTACCGGAAGGTACTCAAGTGCTGCGCACCCCCCTACCAGACACAGCGACGAACCTAACCATATCGTTGACATCAGTTGTCTCATCTCTCTACACCAATCATAATAGCTCCCAAATTTATTGTTTTATCCATTCTGGCGTGCTTAACTGCAAATCATTTTTAAGTGTTGAATAAAGGTTGGAATAAGTTGGGAGTCGTTACATTGTACGAGCTCAATTTCTGGGATTGCTTGTCAAAGGAAGTACCCACTCTCCATACTGCAGCTGTAAGGTTAATAAAATCATAACTGAAAAATATCGTTTCGAGTAAAAAATCATTCACTATTCAAAATGAGTTTGGAGCCGAACTCTTAAATACTTCATTCAGTGTTCAATTCACATAATAATCCGTGAGCCAAAATAAGATGTATGTGTAACGATCCTTTAAAGACAATTACCCCTTTTGGAAAAAATGATTTAAAAGCAATTTCGACATTTTCAAACATTTATTAAGCACTTTAAAATGATTTGCAGTTATGCATGCCAGAACGGATAAAACAATAAATTTAGGAGTTATTGTCATTGGTGTAGAGAGATGAGACAACTGATGTCAACGATATAGTTAGGTTCGTTGATGTGTCTGGCAAGGGGGTGCGCAGCACTTGAGTACCATCCGGTAGACTTCCTGGGCAGGTCGAAGAGTGCGCCAGTAATTCGGTGCGCAGCGTATAATCCTGGCCAGGTAGTCCTTGAATACGTCATATGTTGGATAGAGAAATCGCTCACAATGACACTTGTGATGATGGCGACACTCGGGATCAGCGACCCAGTCTCGAGGCAAAGGATTCTCTAGATCATTGGAGTTGGTAGCACGAGATTTTTTGTAGCGCAGAGCCAAGGCTTCCCTGCAATGGAATAAATAGATTCAATAAACAAAGCGATGGGTAGTTGAGCCGAACATGCACTTACTCTAGTCCCTTTTCTAGAAGGGTCTGAACACCCTTACTGTAGATGACCTTGGCAAAGTGATTGCAACGATTTGTTCTATCCAGGGTATAAAGGTACCAGGTGGGCATCAGGCCGAATCGGACCCCACTCAAGACTCGCTCAGCGCAGCTCTTGCGCTCGTACCAATTGTGTTCCAGCCAGAGTATGACCGAGAGGAATATCTAGAGGTCGAGATGAAAAATAAATGTACCACTTCCATCGATCTAGGTGATGGACCATCATCTCTGCTCACCTCTATCTCGGAGTTCACGCTGAGGTAGCAGTTGTTGAGCACGTGGATTAGTTCGTGCTCGCTAAAGTCGAGGAAGGATGCAGAGCTGACAATGCAGAGGTAGACACGCGATATGCGTGTTAACATCAGTTCACGGAGAATTTTTGCCTGGGGATGGCGGCGAGCTTCCAAGTAAACTTTGTAGGCAGTGTCCTCGTTGAAGAACTCCATTTTCTCGAGGGAGGCCCAGAGCTGGCGTAGTAGTTCGGGTATCTGCAGTACCTCGTCGGCCACCATGCGAGCCAGTGTCTTGTCGTTCTCATTCTGATCCTGACTGTGGTCCTGGCTCGACTGTGGCGATAGTCCCAGCATAGGGAGTTTCTCAATGAATCGCTTAGCCGCGTAGAGCTTGGCATAGTTCTGTAGGACAGACTTAAAGGAGCGATATCGCTCATTGCCTGTTATAATGCCCGCTTCGGCTAGAGTCTGGGTGCGCAGCACGAGCATAAGGTTCTCCGAAACGCGCTCGATCACCGATGTGGCCTTCTCCGCTTGCTTCTTGGAGTTAAGAAGCTCTATTACAATCTGGTTCGCATCGCCGTCTCCCTCCTCGCCCAGGCGCATCAAAAGTTTGGCGAACTCGCTGCGCTGGACAACAGCCACCAAGCTGTTGTTGCCCTCGTTGCTTGGGACATCGACCGAGGGAACGGTGAATGAGGAGCTGGCCGTAGGCTCCTCGCTTTCGCTCATGGTTATGGTTTGTTGGCTGGCACTGGCTGTCGGCTCGTGTCTGTCGCCTATGGGGGGTTCCCGTATAAATTCGAATAGGTCTTCATCACTGCTGAGCTCATCGATCGATGGTGTTGCCGTTGGCATGGGTGTGTTTATTAGGGTCTTCTCGTCGTCGGTTGTGGGGACCTTGTCAGGGTCCTTGCCCTGGCATTCCATGTTGTTGCGGTTTCAAATGCTGGCTCAAAGGGTGTCCAGTCTTGATCGCGAAAGCGATCGCTATTCTTGGACAAGTGTGGAAGGTCTATAAGTGGGTTCTACTTACTTATTCGTTTGTACACGAATACTTTGTGTTTGATAATGGTTTAAATTGACATTTGTTACAGCTGCTCTCATGGACTACTGGGACTTTATTTTTGTGTATACGATATAAACAAGCTAAACGGGCTACTAAATCCGCTAAACAAACATGTTTACAATTTCTGGTTCCTATCCCCTGGCCGTGCCGCTGCTCAAGCTGCCCTCGCTCATGTGGAATTGTATCAAGATGATGAGGTACGTGGTTGTGGCACCAACAATCTGCAATGAATTCGTCAGTCAAGAGTCAACCACCTGCCCGAGCTAGGCCACGCCCACTCACCGTGTAAAGCAACGTGCAGTCGACATCGAAAAAGCCCGCTGCGCTGAAGTGCAGTCGCTGATGCAGCAGCTGCAGGGAAAACTGGGTGATCTGTGAAGCAGATTGCGGATTACGGTCTGCATGGAGACAGAAGCGGGGTGAGTAGGCATCGACTCACCAGTGCATTGTGGCTGTCATTCTGGAGATCCACGCGGATGTGATGCAGACTCAAGGCCAGCCGCGTTGTCTGCAAGCGAAAAACAGTACGAGTTAAGTGCCAGTGGACGCACAGGTGCCACAGGTGCCACAGGTAGGTGCCCCCTGCTACTCACAAAATAGGCGGCTCGCTCGCATATAAGAGCCAGAAAAATAACGTTGCCCAAATGCGGTGCAGACCAAAGGGTGCTGCCGACAATTTGCAGGAAGTCGTAGGGCGAGGCGGCAAACTGGCGAAAGTTCAAGAAGATCCAATAGCAGTTGGAGGTGATGGCCAGAAAATCGTTGCCCAAGTTTACCAGCATGGAGAGGCCATAGCAGCGATTCAGGAGGGCGACCAACAGCCAGAGCCGCTGATACAGTTTCCTGGCGGCCAACAGACGCTGCATGCAAGCCGCCGCTTGGGCCTCCATTTCGAGCTCCTCCTTTATGGACTTGCAGATGAATGGCTGCTGCTGGGCCGGCTCGTTCAGCTGCAGGGAGTCCAGCAAGCGCAGCAGCAACTCGAGACGGTGGTGCACAATCTGGACGGCCGTGTAGATCTGAAAATAGCGCACGCCACAGACGAGCAGCGGCAGCAAATAGCACAGCCAATAGATCATAAACTGGCTATCCGGCGAAAGCATTTTGGTGAACAGTATGAAGACCTGGCTAACCAAATAGCCGCACAGCATCCACAGTGCACGGCGGTTCATTTGGCCTCGGAATTGGTCATTCTGTACGTCCAGATGCAGCACATTCGCGAATTCGCGGTCGATCTCGCGTAGCTGCGCAAAGAAGCGGCCCTGCGCTTGACGCTGCCACAGCGCCTCCAGGAGCGCCGTTGCGTGCGCCACTCGGATGCCCACCAGCTGTATGGAGTCCACCGTGTGGCCAATGTTGGTGGTTTTATTGGAGTCGCCAACGGCGGAGCGACTCACGTCAAACAAGCCGTACAGAAGGTAGCCCGTGGACAGCAGCAGCACCACACCGCCGTAGGCCTCCAGCCAGCGGGAACGTTGCAGCTGCCGTGTGGCGGTATCCAAGCGCCACTGCCACAGGTTGCACAGCTGACCGAGACGCTGCAGTGGCGCCAGTGCGTCCAAAATGTCCATACCAAAATGTTTGAGTTGATTTTCAATGGGGCTGCCTCAATTATAGCCGCAGCTATTCGATAGATAAAGCACTTATCTAATCAGTTAATTGCACTACAATGCTCATCAATTATAATTGTTATCTGGAATTGCAAAATCTCTAACCAAGCACTAACTAAGCTAATTGAGCTGGAACCGAGAAACCAGATACTAATCCAGACAACATCTACTTAGTTATGGCTGTTCTTCAACTGCAATGCTTCCATGCCTGCATGTGCTAAGGTCCGCTTGACGACTGGTCGTCTGGAAAAGTACCACAAAGGGAGCCACCTGCAGAGCTGTCCGCGCTCTCATCAATCATTATCAATGTGAATTAACGCATTTCAATGTCAACACGCTGAAATGCTGACTGTGCATATATCAAGTTTGGCAGATAAACAGGTGAGTCAAGGACAATTGAGTACTTATGCCGACTTCCGTCAGCAAAAGCTGAGTCCGTCTGAAAGGAGGGGCCTTCTCGACCACTTCTCGACTTTCTGATTAACTGGCTAATAATCAAGGGGCTGCAAGCCCAACAGAAATGTTCGGTTCACGGCTCGGGAAAGCAGTCCATGTTCAATCCGAGGTTCTCACATCCTAACGATTTTCACTAGAACAATGCTTGTTATTATAAATGAAATGTGGAAATTTAGTCGGTTTAAGGTTTGGTTCATATTAAAGAACTGGGTATACGGATTAAAGCCGGAGCGGTAAAGAGTTACCAAAGTGTTCGCCTTCAATTGGTGCAGGTGTCGCTGCATACTGTTGGTTCCTTTCCAAATTTATTTAACTTTTTACCGGCTCTCATCAGGCAACCCAACTGATGATTGAAATGAAACACATTGAAATTTCACATAAATACCTTTATTATAATTTTTAGATTTTTCTTTGGAAATAGATCTTGAGATAAGCTTGATTTGACTTTTTCATAAAATGTAATACATATATGTACTTTTTTGTTTTGTTATATTCGTTTTATTCTTTGCATTTTTGTAGTTTTCAAATTTTGCATACCCTTTGGATTTCAATTACTTCCGTTTCCTATGTTCGTCTGTGTGTGTGTGTGGGTGTGTGTGTGTGTTATAATTTTGTTTGCAACATTTTCTTTGTGCTTGCCTTCGCTTCTCTCTTGTTCATTCCTCCGTTCTAGCTTCCTTCCTAGTTAGCAGCAAAATTTGTAACTTGAATTGGATTTGAATCCATATTTATCTGTATGTGTGTTTGTGTATTCCTCTATATCGAATATAACCCAATGCATTAGCTCTTGTAGCGATATTTAATTTTGCATTTTCTTGCTGTGTATTAATTAGTTTTCTGGGTTTTCATTTTTTTCGTTTTTTGTTTTTCTTAACAATTTTCTGCATGCATTTAGCTTTTACTAATGATTATATAGTTGTCAAATATATAGATACACATATAAGTATATGTATGCATGCATATAAATTTAAGTATATTTGATTTAAATATAAGCTGCTAATAGGTTAAAGCAAATTCAGATAGCAAATTCAACAAACAAATTCGTCATATTCTTTGTTTACTTTGGGTACACTCAATACTTTTGCATATATATATATATTTAATACGTTAATACGCTTTGTTCTTTGGTTAAGGCAATGGATACATAATAACTGATTTCTGATTAACTGATTTCTCAGCTGCAAAAATTAACAACAAACATTTAAAAACATTTGCGAGTTACTCAACACAGATCAATTTAGCTTTTTTGGGGAACTGTGAAGCAGTTTCTCAGTTTTTCGGCTTAACTCATGAGAAGCAAAAAATTTGTTTGGGTTAGAAAGTATTTACTTTGAGCTTACAAGCAAACATTCATACATTCAAGTTTATAGTGTATATATGTCGTTTATGCATTTTAATATATATATATATATTTTGTGTGTATACGTATGTCTATAAGTATTTCTTTCTTGTATTTGGTTTTCTTTTTGCTTTTATTTAGTTAAGCGCAAAAGTTTGTTTGGAAAATTAATATGCAAGTGTAGCTCGTATTCGTTTAACTCTACCAAGTAGCCACACACACATTCGAATAGTGGAATGTGTTAGTTCACGGGGATATTCATACATATAGACTATTCGCCCATGAACACCAATTGCCAACAATTCTCTCTGAGATCTTAATCATTTGTGTTTGTCTAGTGCATGATTACTTGGTATTGATTTGTTGTCTGCACATTAGAAGGAAATTTATGAGACACTCATACAATCAATTCTCTTCGATATAATTCGTAACTTGTTCTTGTTGAGAGCTCGGATTTGAAATCAAATATTAAAGTACATTTAGTTTCTTAATATTAGTTTATCAAAAAAAAAAAAAACACATGGATTAATTGTTCAATTGAATAGTGTTAGCTTCTCTTGTTTTTAACTAATTGTCTTTTAAATAATTTAATTATTTATAAAATATGTTTTTATGGTGCTTGTACCATTGATTTTGTTTATAACTCTTCAATGCCTTTCAATTTCATATTATATATTTAAAATTTTGTTTATAATTTGTAAATCCCTGTCTAAAGCTGTTTGCTAGTAGTCATAAAATAATTTCCATTTTTTTTTTTATCACTTTATATCATATACATACATACATAAATATGTAGAGTATTTACTTAGCAGCTGCTTAAATGATAAATTGTTTATTCACGTTTTAGTCAAGCACAAATCAAACCAAAAATCAATCAAATATTGCTATAAAATTATTCATTCGCTAAACAAAAGAACAAAAAAAAAACAAAAAACCTATCACATGCGCGTTTGGATCCTTCGAAAGTAAATGATCGTTATTTATTAATTGCTTTTATCGTTTGTATATATTTATATTTTTAGTTTGTGATTTTTTTTAATTTTAAATTTGTTAATTTTTTATTTCTTTTTTGCTTGTTGCTTATCAAACTTTTGTAGACTGGACGGTAGCCAGTTGTTTGTAGACTGTTGCGCCTGGTTGTTCTTGTTGTTGTATAAAAAGCAACTGAAAATATATTTATACATATATATATATATATATATACATATATATATAAATATGTATATGCGTATATTTTAGTTGTTAAAACTGCAAATAATATAATAAATATATATATTTATACATGTATATATATATATATATATATATATATTCCTTGAATTCATTATGTTAAGCTTGCGCTTTTTAAAAATCGGCTTTATATATGTATGTATATCCTAAAAAGTCTGTATGACAAATATCAATTTGTAATGCAATCAAAAATTGTTATTTAAATATGTTTTTCATTTAATTGTTTTCTCTCTTTTATTGGACTGTCTGACTGACTATTAATTGCAGTGGCTTCAAAATATTCTTGAGTTTTATAATTTGTCTTTTTTTAAATATTGCGTGTGCCTTTTTCGCTATTATTTTGAATATCTTGTCCATTATTATTTGGGATTCTTTCATTAAAGGTTTTTTTTTTTTGGGCTTTAGTTTCTTTTTTCTTTAAATTTGTTATTCTATGACTATGAAAAAGTAAAAAAAAAAAATATAGAAAAATAACCTTCATTCACTTTGTGTCCATCATTTAGTTTTGTTTCACAATATCTGGCTAAATGACACCCTACCCCAAGTCCCATGCTAACCCAATCAGACCCTCTCGTAAACCTTATATAGTAATATCAGCATTAATATCTTCGCGTCATCAACTCTATCATCAACAACAGCATTCAGCATAACACACCTACATCCCTATATATATATACGTTATGTATATATCAAACCCATGACTTCCAAACCTATCCAGCGAAAACATAAAGACACAGACCCAGGTCTAGCTCAACAATGCGACGTTTCCAATTCATTAAATTTCTGCCAGACTTTTTTTGGTATTATTATTCCTGGTTCTATATAAGTGTACGTATATCATTTTGCGTGTTTGATCTATAGTTAATTCATTTTTGGATTAATTATTATTATTTTGTCCCATTGGTATTTAGTAAGTCTTTCTGCAGACTGCAAGAACAATTAGCTAACCAAAAGATTAACTCAAAATGGAATTATTCAAATGAAAAATTGTACAATTAATTGCATTCTTTTAATTTGATATTAAGCATTTGATATATGATATTTCATATTTAAGACTTTTGTATTGTTCATTTGTTTGCATTTTGGGGAGGCACATTTATTTAAGGTTTCGTATTATTTCCATGCTTGGTTCAATATTTATTTGTAGCTGTTCCATTAGACTTTTAATTAAAGTACATTTTTATATACGTCGCGATTCGTATTAAATTCATATGTTTTTTTTTTTCGCTAAATACTTAGTTAGATTTCTCTTTATTATGCTTTAACAATTTGTGTGTGTGCATTTCGTTATATTGGTTTGAATTTTAGTTTGTTATTTATTTTGAACAAGAAAAAATGATTTTCATTGATCATTTGCATTATATATCTGCGTTATGACTTAGGCGTGTGTTGTAGTTTTAGAGTTAAGTAAATACTAGTAGTAGTACAATATGGTTTCGCCGTCTTTCGGCATACACATATATGTATTATATATATTCTTTTTTTATTATTTAAAATTCGAGTTTATGAGATTCTTTAATAGTTTGTTCATAAAAGTTTTACTAATACAAGAAACATGAATAATATTTGTAATATACTTAGCATTTTCGTAACCTTTATGTTTTTTTTATTTTAGTTTTTTTTTAGGTTTTTTATAATTTCTTTTTGTATATTTTTGCTAGGCGGTTTTGAAAACAATTTTGATCTTTCGATTACTATGCAAGGTAGCTTGACGTTTAATGAAAGCAACAAATACATAAACATTACAATATATATTAATGGGATTTTACGTTTTTCTTTGTATATATATATTTTTTTTTCTGGCACGTAGCGCTTCTTTGGAAAGTTTTTTGGTTTGTTTTTTTTTTTTTTGCATTGTTCGGTAATTAATTTGTTGAAAATTAATGTATATTAATTACCTTGCTTACTGCATTTGGAAAGGAATTGGCAAAAAGCGCAAACAGACGGCATTGGCAAACAAAATGGCGTCATCCAAGATGACCCGTTACTCCGCCATATTCAGCTTTTTATTCGTTCTTCATTTCCGAAAGTGTTTTTTTTTTTTAGCTTTTCGTTGGCGCACGGCATTTTGCATATTGCATTTTGTTGTTTCTTTGTTCGTGTCAAGTTTTGTTTTCAGTTGTAGTCGCAATAAGTGTTGTTGTCGTTTTCGTTGTGTTTTCTTGTATGTTTTTGAAATTTTTGTCGTCATCGTTAGGCTCAAAAATTGAAAGTCGTCTTTTTGGTGTGCGTGTGTGTATCTGGGTGTGTCTGCGTGTGTGTTGATTGCTGTTGTTAGCCCCATTAGGGTTTACGAGGGGGCCGCACTCAAATCGCTGTCAGTGTAGTATAAGAGATTTGATAAAATTGTGGTTTCTCTGTATATTTTAGTCGTCATCGTCAAATGCAATAAACAAGCCCGTGGCCTAGAACTCCAAGCGATATGCGGAGCACGAGGTCTCATGATCCTGCAAGTTAATTGTGCAACGCGAAGCGGATGGTGACAGATCAATGCGGTGCTTGGCAAGCAGCTCCTCATTCTCGGCTACCCAGTAGCCCAACACGTCGGTATCATATGTTGGTATAATGGTTACCTCTGCAAAATTTAACAATTGTTAGTAAAGTTCCTTTTCTATAAATATATATATATATATATATGTATATAACTGATTTACTTACCCAGCTCCTTGTCTTCCCAGGTTTGTTTGGCCTCCAGTAGGGCATCGTAGACCTGACGGCTGGGCTCGGTGCCAGAGAAGACATAGTAGCGAGCACGGACACGCTTGAAGAAGTCCACGTGTGCATAGTAGGAGTTGCCATTGTGCGGCACGTAGGTAAGATCCACATAGACAGGTGCGGGCTTCTTGGCCTTGTTGGGTGATTCGCTACGCTTGCGGAGATTCTTTTCATTATTCAGACGCGTCTTGGTGGCCACCAAGCGACGCTCCTTCTTGGGCGTGGTGCGTATATCGGCGCCTTCGACCGGCAATGGTGCCGGTGATGGCAGGCCGAGTGGCTTGCCCCACTCCTCAAGGCGATCCTTTGGCAGGGTGCCAGTTGTGCTGCTTGTGCTAGTTGTTGTTGCAGTTGCAGCGGTTGTTGTTGTTGTTGCTGTTGCTGTTGTCACTGTGCTGCTGCCAGTGTCAGCGCCAGTGGTGGTTGCAGTGGTTGCAGTTGGAGTGGCGAAGCTCACCAAAAGATTGTCGCCGCTGCGTACCTTCTGGACATCGCTGAGGGGGAAGCGCTGTCGGTCGGCAGTGCCGCTGACAATCTGCTCGACCTCCTCGGCCTTGGATGGTGAGTAGGAATACTTGGCGGTCACGGAAGACATTACTTCGGCGCCGCGCGCCTGTACATGCTCCTCGAGTGCCTTCTGGAAGTCCTTGTCGGCCTCATCCAGGAACTTGTGTCCGGCCCATGTTTGGCTGGTGCTCTCCACGCTCTCGGATGACTGACTGGCTGGTGGTGAGTCAGTGTAGGTCATCAGTATGGCACCCCGTATAGGTATTGGCTCAGTGCTGGGCTTGGCATCAAAGCTATCGGGAAGTGCGCCATAAAAGGAGGTTGCCATGGGATCGGCTGCGCGGGGCTGCAGAATGACGCGCGCAGTAGAATGCTCTTCGCTACCGTACTGCGGCGGTATATCATCTTGGCTGTCATCGCCATCGAGATCGGAGCGCTTGCTTATGCCAGAGCTGGAGTGCTGCAGATCGTAGCTAGCGCTACGTGGCGTGCCGGGCAACTCATCGTCACTCATGGCACCAGCCAAACGCTCATCATCACTGCCGGGCGTGCTGGAGCGATAAATGCCGCGCAGCATGGTCACTTCCTTGGGCAGGATTTGATCGCGATCGCGTTCCCGTTCCCGTTCGCTTTTCTCGCTTTTCTCGCTCTCGCTGGTTGTGCGAGTGGTGGTGACCACCACTTTCTCGCTGTCTGGCTCTGAGCTGTCGGTTGTAGTGACTGTCTTTTGTTCAGTCACAATCTCCTTGCCATCGGCAGAGATGACCTTGGTAACTGTCGTTATGGTTGTCGTTATGATCTTTTCGGTGCTTCCGCTAAGCGCTGTGGTGCTCTCAATGCCGCGCAACTCGTGCAGCTCCGGGAGCAGTTCACCGGAGTCGGCGCTGAACTCGCTGGCATCGGGCTCCGCTGATACACCTAAGGACTTCAGCTCGTCCTTGCTGACACGCGGGAAAGGAGAAGTGGGCTTGGGAGATGACTCTGGCGTCTCGGTGTGCGACTCACGCCCTAACGGTGTTGGTATGGATTGACTTTCAGATGTTAATGCACCAGGACTGGACTTACCACTAATGTCTTTGGGCGACAATGGGCCCGATGTTGATGCAATGCTGGCAGCGCTAGATTCGCTCTTGGCGCAGCTGGAGCCCGTGGCCGCGGTGCTTGTGGTGCTTGTGGTGCTTGTGGTGCTCACCGGCTTAACGCTGGGACTGACCGGTGCTGTTGGCGGTGTCTTGCGATCTGTGCTGTCAACGGCTTGCTCACCTTGTGTCTGTGTTTGTGACAGTGTAATGGATTCGACTTTTGTCTTTAAGTCTGTCGAGCTGGTTTTCATAGAAGTGCTGCTGGATTGTTCGCTGGATTGCAGTAGTGTGGTTGTTTTAGTGGTTGTGTCTGTAAGGGAAGTAGTCGACTTTGTCTCTTTGGGTGCCTTGTCATGCTCATGCTGTTTGAGCTCGTCCTGATCTTCATGCTCGTCTTCTTTAAGGGCGCCAATCGTGTCAAGCTCCTCGGAGGGCTTGTAGATGCTAGTCATCATGATGGTGGCAATGGATTTGGAACGACCCTCTTTTAGACTGGCGTGCCCATCATCGTCACTATCCTCCTCGGGATCGCTGTGCGTTTGCCGACCCTCGCTCGTATGACTGAGCACCGATTCACGCCGGGACTCGTCTGTGCCAACAAACAAAGGCTTCTGAGATGAGGTTACACTGGATATCTTCTTCAGACACTCATCAGCTGTTTTAGTGGCCTCAGCGGTAAATGTTTCTTTGGCGGCAATTATTTTCTCAGTAGCTAAAAATTCTGCCACTGTCTCCTTAAGGCTGTCCTTGACTGACTCCTGAACGGAGGTGCTCGTGGTTTCCTTGCTTGTGCTTTGGCCACTTGACTTTTGGGTGCTCGAAGTTTGAATCTCACTGACTATAGACTCCGAGGAGCACTCTTCAGATTGAATGAGCAGCTCCTCCAGTTCTGAAGTTGTAGTCTTCTCCATAATCCTTGTAATACGTTCATTTTCCTCCTTGACGCTAGTGCTTGCAGATTTGGTGGCTTCTTTATCGGTCAGCAAGCTTGATAGAGACTCCCGTCGGGAGCTGTCCTCCACCTTCATGCTGCTACTTAGGGATTCGCTTATAGATTCTTCTTTTAGATTCATTTGATGTATAACTGACTTGGAGGTGGTTGTTGATTCGCTTGATTTCTCTTCCTTTTTGCTTTCGATTGTCGAGACCAGATTTGAATCGCGCTGGGAGTCGGAAGTCTCTTCATCCTTGGTGCTGATATGACTAGCACCTGATGCTGGTCGCGAAGATGTCGGCTCCTTCTCTACTGATTCCGGGCGGGGGCATTCCTTGGTCTTTTCGCTGGCCTGGCTAGCAGCGGATTCTGGACGAGTTGCATCTTTAGATGATGTGGCGGATACATCTACTTTTGTCGATCCAGCTACAGATATTGATTCGCGTCTAGAGTCTGACTCAATGCTGCCGGCTACCGTTTCACTTATATGGCTTGCAATCGACTCGTGTCTGGAAATGTCTTTTGTAGGCGTTGGTGACTTTTCATCTTTGTGATCGGATTCCTCTTTCAAACTGGCCACTGATACGGGCCGTGATCTTTCCTTTGACAAATCTAAGAAATGTTCCGGTTTTTCCTCCTCTTTCTCGCTTGCTACGCACTCGGGGCGAGATGGTAATGATTCTAGAGGTCCCGACTGGCCTGTTGCTGATTCTGGCCTGGAACTATCCTTAGCTACTTCAAAGACAGCGACTTTTGCAGCTCCTTCTTGCAGTTGCGCCTTTTCAGACTGCTCAATTTTGTCCTTCTCTTCAATTGAAATGGGCCCAGACTTTTGATCTGGTGAAGACTTTTCTGATTCAATATCTACTTTCATCATTTTCATATCTAATATCTTTTCATCTAATACAAGATCCGCTGTTGGAGTTAATTTACCCGATAGAGCTTCAGGTGAAGCCGTTTTCTGTAAATCCGCCGCTTCAATTTCAGCTGTAGTTTTAAGTTTTTCCTCCAATTGTTCCTCACTGAACCCAGGTATTATATCAGTAATATCTTTATCTGACTTCAAAACCTTTGCTACATTGGCAACAATCTTGGCAACCTCTACTTCACGTGGCGAGACGGGACGCATCGGTTGCTCTGGTAGCATAGCTCCCTTTTCGGTTGGTGGCGAAAATCTGTGCTCTTCGTCCTCTTCTTTTATATCATGTAGAATACTCTCATCACGTTCGCAAATCGTTACTTTAAATTCGGGTGAATCCACTGTGGTAATGTGTGTTTCACGAAGCTCTGAAAAACCACTCAAGTCAAGGTTACCTTTGGCACTGGCATCTTCAGGCATATCGGTAGCAGTTTCTATAATTGAACTTGCCTGCGCCAACTGTTCAGATAATACCTCCGAAGTCGATAAAACTTTTTCAATAACTTCGTGCTGTTTCTCTTCCGCAATAGTTGCTGTTTTCGAAACATCAATGATCTTTGAATCTTTAAGAGATTTAAGGTCCGTTAATGCATTTGAACTTTCTTTAGTTATTTGCTCCAAGGACTCCACTACAAAATCTTTAGCACTTTCAAGTTTATGGCTCATTGTATCAATTAGAGTTTCTGCTTTTTGGCTTAGCGGGTCAGTAAGCGATTGCAGCTTATCTTCGCAGAACGAGCTGGTTCCGTCCAATTTACTTGGACTTGCCTGTGAAATTATATGTTCTTCAATGGTCTCAATTGACTCGAAAATTTTAGCTGCCTCATCCACAGGACTAGAAGCAGTTAGTATCGCTCCAACGGTGGTGTGCTCGGCAGGTTTGTCTAATTCGATTGACCCTGGCATTGCATGAGAAAATTCGCCCAAAGCAACATCAACCGGACTGGATACAGTAGGGTAATTTCCTTTGATTTCAGCAGATGAGAGGGTCACAAAAATGGGTTCCCTTGACGCTTCGTCAATAGGCGACGAAGCCGTTTCTGTTACGGACGCAGGACGGGAAGGTTCAATTGACTTCACACTCTCAACTACCGATGCTGGACGCGATGGTTCCTTATCTTTTTGGCTATCGTCTTTAACAGATTTCGGTTTTTCCGATTCATCTTTCACAGTTTCTACCACAGATCCGGGACGTGATACTTCTTTAGAGGCTGGCAAAGACTTATCACCCTGCAAAGTCTCTGGCATTGTTCTTCCTGCAACAGATTCCCTTCGGGAAGGCTCCCTATCATCAGGTTTTTCAGAATCTTTTTTCACAGTATCGGCAACATCTTTGGGCATTGATGTCTCCTTGGAAGCTTGTAAAGATTTGCCTTGCTCTTCACCTTCCAGCCTTGTAATATCTGCAGCAGATTCCGGACGAGAGCCGTCTTGAGACTTGTCTGCTTTTTCAAGTTCATCCTTCACACTCTCTGCAACCGATGGGGGTCTGGAAGCTTCCTTAGAAGCTGGTAAGGACTTGCTCTCGGATGCTGATTTGAGGTCGGCAGGTACTTTAGACTTGTCACCCTTATCAAGTTCAGTTTCTTTAGATTCGTACTTCACACTTCCTATAATCGATTCGGGCTGTGATACTTCCTTAGAAGCTGTTGGAGATTTGCTATCCTTAACATGCTCTGTCTTTGGACTGTCTATGACAGATTCTTTTCGGGACGGCACCTTAGATTCATCTTTTATGCTTTCCGTTACGGATTCAGGCCGCGACTCTTCCTTGGAAACTGAAAGAGTTTTGTCACCCATAGGACTATCTGGCTTAATACTCTTAGCAACAGATTCTACACTTTCTGGCTCTTCTGGTTGACCCTTCACACTGAGTGCTACAATACCGGGTGATTCATCTTTGGAAAAAGCTAGATACATTTCATCCTTTATACTAAGCGGTATTAAGCTTTCGAGAGGTGATTTCTGACAGGATGGGTCCTCTATTTTTGTCTTTCCACTATCGTCCTTTATACTCTCGGCTACAGATCCTGGCCGCGATACTTCCTTTGAGGCTATTGGGGACTTAACACTTTCCTCTTTGACATCAGTCTCCTCACTTTCAGTAAGATAGCTTGCGGCTTCATCTACAGGGCTGGATGCGGTTTTTGATGTAGCAACTTTAGAGAGCTCCGCCGGCTTGGCTGGTTTAAGTGGCTCGGACAGAGAAGTTGCCACTGCAAAATTACCTTCAGCAACCTCAATAGGGCTGGAAAGAGTTGGGAAATCCCCTTCGGATTCGCCATATATATCTTTTTTTTGATGCTCACACAAAAAGTCCAAATTAACTGGCGACGGTACAGTTTGTCTAGCAAATTCCTCCAACTGGGCCTCTTTCAATGAGCCTTCTGTCCTTAAACTTTCGAAAGAGAAACCTTCAGATATGGGTTCTCGATGAGAAGATTCCTCAACGATGTTATCTTCTGCCGCAGATATGGAATGTGAAGGCTTCGAGGAGATAGGAATAGACTTGTCATCCCTAAAACTCCCCGGTTTTGTACTCTCTGCAACGGTTTCACGACGGAAACGCTCTTCAGACTTTTGGTCCTTTAAAATTTCTGCCTTTTCATGTTCCTCCTTTACACTTTTGGCTGCAGAGCCAGGTCGTGATGCTTCTTTGGAGGCAGGTAGAGACTTTTCATCTTTTAAGCTTTCCGTATGCGCACTCTCCGCAACAGATTCGCGCCGTGAAGCTTCTGTAGACTTTACTTCTTTCAAACTGTCTGGTTTTGCATGTTCATCTGTCACACTTTCTACTGCAGAGCTTGGTCGTGATGCTTCTTTGGAAGTGGGGATAGACTTGTCATCCCTCATACTCTGCGGTTTTGTACTGTCTGCAAGAGATTCACGTCGAGAAACCTCTATAGATTTTTCGTCCTTTAGACTTTCTGGCTTTTCATGCTCGTCTTTCATACTACCAGCGACAGAACCAGGTCGTGATGCCTCCTTGGAGACAGGAAGCGACTTGTCATCCTTTACACTCTCCGGTTGAATACTCTCTGTAACGGATTCACGGCGGGAAAGATCCGCAGACTTTGCGTCCTTTAAACTTTCTCGCTTTTCATGTTCACCTTTTAAACTTTCGGCGACTGAACCAGGTCGTGATGCCTCCTTGGAGACAGGAAGCGACTTGTCATCCTTTGCACTCTCCGGTTGAATACTCTCTGCAACGGATTCACGGCGGGAAAGATCCGCAGACTTTTCGTCTTTTACACTTTCTGGCTTTTCATGTTCACCTTTCAAACTTTCGGCGACAGAACCAGGTCGTGATGCTTCTTTAGAGACAGGTAGAGACTTTTCATCTTTTAATATTTCTGGTTTTGTACTCTCTGCAACGGATTCACGTCGTGAAGGCTCTGTAGACTTTTCGTCCTTTAGTTTTTCTAGCATTTCATGTTCGTCTTTCACACTTCCTACTACGGAACCAGGCCGTGATGCTTCCTTAGATGCAGGTAGAGATTTTTCGTCCTTCCAGCTTTCTGGTTTCGCACTCTCAGCAACTGATTCACGTCGTGAAGCCTGTATAGACTTTTCGTCCTTCTCACTTTCTGGTTTTGCATGTTCGTCTTTCACACTATCGGCGACAGAACCAGGTCGTAATGGCTCCTTGGAGACAGGAAGAGACTTGCCGTCCTTTACACTCTCCAGTTTAATACTCTCCGCAACGGATTCTCGGCGGGAAAGCTCTCCAGACTTTACGTCCTGCAAACTTTCTGGCTTTTCATGTTCGTCTTTTACACTTCCGGCGACAGAACCAGGTCGTGACGCTTCCTTGGAGACAGGAAGAGACTTGTCATCCTTCAAACTCTCCGGCTTAATACTCTCCGCAACGGATTCACGTCGGGAAGGCTCTTCAAACACTTCGTCCCTAACACGTTCAAGCTTTTCGAATACATCCTTTTCAATTTCTTCAACAGATCCGGAACGTGATACTACTTTTGAGGTTGGCAAAGACTTATCTTCCTTCATACTCTCGACCTGAATTTTCTGAGCGTCAGATTTAGGTAGAAGAGAATCCTTAGGCGTTTTGTCGACACAAATTTGATCTTTTTCATTTTCCGAAACCGATACCGGATGAGAAATTTCCATTGGGGCAGGGGAGGACATGTCATCCTTCACACTCTCGAGCTTAATACTTTCAGCGATAGATTCACGTAGGCAAACTTCCTTAGAACTTTCTTCCAAAAGAATTTGTGCCTTTTCATGTTCGTCTCTCACACTTTCTGCTGCGGAACTAGGTCGTGATACTTCCTTTGAAACAGGTAGAGACTTGTCATCCTTCAAGCTTTCGGGTTTTGAACTCTCTGCAACGGATACACGTCGGGAAGGCTCTGTAGACTTTTCCTCCTTCAAACTTTCCGGCTTTTCATGTTCGTCTTTAGCACTTTCGGCGACAGAACTTGGTCGTGACGCTTCCTTGGAGACAGGAAGAGACTTATCGTCCTTTACACTCTCCGGTTTTATATCCTCCACAACGGATTCACGGCGGGAAGGCTCTGTAGACTTTTCGTCCTTTACACTTTCTGGCTTTTCATGTTCACCTTTCAAACTTTCGGCGACTGAACCAGGTCGTGGCGCCTCCTTGGAGACAGGAAGAGACTTGTCATCCTTTACACTCTCCGCTTTTATACTCTCCGCAACGGATTCACGTCGGGAAGGCTCTGTAGACTTTTCGTCCTTGAGACTTTCTGGTTTCTCGTGCTCGTCTTTCACACTTTCTACCACGGAACCGGGCCGTGAGGCTTCCTTAGATGCAGGTAGAGACTTTTCATCCTTCAAGCTTTCTGGTTTCGAACTCTCCGCAACTGATTCACGTCGTGAAGGCTCTGTAGACTTTTCGTCCTTCAGACTTTCTGGTTTCTCGTGCTCGTCTTTCACACTTTCTACCACGGAACCGGGCCGTGAGGCTTCCTTAGATGCAGGTAGAGACTTTTCATCCTTCAAGCTTTCTGGTTTCGAACTCTCCGCAACTGATTCACGTCGTGAAGGCTCTGTAGACTTTTCGTCCTTCAGACTTTCTGGTTTCTCGTGCTCGTCTTTCACACTTTCTACCACAGAACCGGGCCGTGATGCTTCCCTAGATGCAGGTAGAGACTTTTCATCCTTCAAGCTCTTCGGTTTCACACTCTCAGCAACTGATTCACGTCGGGAGGGCTCTGTAGACTTCTCGTGCTCGTCTTTCACACTTTCTACTACGGAATCGGGCCGTGATGCTTCCTTAGATGCAGGTAGAGACTTTGCATCCTTCAAGCTCTCCGGTTTCACACTCTCAGCAACTGATTCACGTCGTGAAGGCTCTGTAGACTTTTCGTCCTTCTGAATTTCTGGTTTCTCGTGCTCGTCTTTCACACTTTCTACTACGGAACCGGGTCGTGAAGCTTCCTTAGAGGCAGGTAGAGACTTTTCATCCTTCAAGCTTTCTGGTTTCGAACTCTCCGCAATTGATTCACGTCGGGAAGGCTCTGTAGACTTTTCGTCCTTGAGACTTTCTGGTTTCTCCTGCTCGTCTTTCACGCTTTCTACAACGGATCCGGGTCGTGATGGTTCCCTGGATGCAGGTAGAGATTTTTCATCCTTTAAGCTTTCTGGTTTCGTACTGTCTGCAACTGATTCACGTCGTGAAGGCTCTGTAGACTTTTCGTCTTTCAAGCTTTCTGGTTTCTCGTGCTCGTCTTTCACACTTTCTACCACGGAACCAGGCCGTGATGCTTCCTTAGATGCAGGTAAAGACTTTTCATCCTTCAAGCTTTCTGGTTTCGCACTCTCCGCAACTGACTCACGTCTTGAAGGCTCTGTAGACTTTTCGTCCTTCAGACTTTCTGGTTTCTCGTGCTCGTCTTTCACACTTTCTACTACGGAACCGGGTCGTGAAGCTTCCTTAGATGCAGGAAGAGACTTTTCATCCTTCAAGCTTTCTGGTTTCACACTCTCCGCAACAGATTCGCGTCGGGAAGGCTCTGTGGACTTTTCGTCCTTGAGACTTTCTGGTTTCTCGTGCTCGTCCTTTACACTTTCTACAACGGAACCGGGCCGCGATGCATCCCTAGATGCAGGTAGAGACTTTTCATCCTTTAAGCTCTCCGGTTGCGCACTCTCCGCAACTGATTCACGTCGTGAAGGCTCTGTAGACTTTTCGTCCTTGAGACTTTCTGGTTTCTCGTGCTCGTCTTTCACACTTTCTACTACGGAACCGGGACGTGATGCTTCCTTAGATGCAGGTAGAGACTTTTCATCCTTCAAGCTTTCTGGTTTCGAACTCTCCGCAACTGATTCACGTCGTGAAGGCTCTGTAGACTTTTCGTCCTTCAGACTTTCTGGTTTGTCGTGCTCGTCTTTCACACTTTCTACAACGGATCCAGGCCGTGATGCTTCCTTAGATGCAGGAAGCGACTTTTCATCTTTTAAGCTCTCTGGTTTCGCACTCTCCGCAACTGATTCACGTCTTGAAGGCTCTGTAGACTTTCCGTCCTTGAGACTTTCTGGTTTCTCGTGCTCGTCTTTCACACTTTCTACCACGGAACCGGGACGTGATGCTTCCTTAGATGCAGGTAGAGACTTTTCATCCTTCAAGCTTTCTGGTTTCACACTCTCCGCAACAGATTCGCGTCGGGAAGGCTCTGTGGACTTTTCGTCCTTGAGACTTTCTGGTTTCTCGTGCTCGTCCTTTACACTTTCTACAACGGAACCGGGCCGCGATGCATCCCTAGATGCAGGTAGAGACTTTTCATCCTTTAAGCTCTCCGGTTGCGCACTCTCCGCAACTGATTCACGTCGTGAAGGCTCTGTTGACTTTTCGTCCTTGAGACTTTCTGGTTTCTCGTGCTCGTCCTTTACACTTTCTACTACGGAACCGGGCCGTGATGCTTCCTTAGATGCCGGTAAAGACTTTTCATCCTTTAAGCTTTCAGGTTTCGCACTCTCCACAACTGATTCACGTCGTGAAGGCTCTGTAGACTTTTCGTCCTTAAGTGTTTCTGGTTTCTCGTGCTCGTCTTTCACACTTTCTACTACGGAACCGGGACGTGATGCTTCCTTAGATGCAGGTAGAGACTTTTTATCCTTCAAGCTATCTGGTTTCGAACTCTCCGCAACTGATTCACGTCTTGAAGGCTCTGTAGACTTTTCGTCCTTCAGACTTTCTGGTTTCTCGTGCTCGTCTTTCACACTTTCTACCACAGAACCGGGCCGTGATGCTTCCTTAGATGCAGGTAGAGACTTTTCATCCTTCAAGCTTTCAGGTTTCGCACTCTCCGCATCAGATTCGCGTCGAGAAGGCTCTGTAGACTTTTCGTCCTTCAGAATTTCAGGTTTATCGTGCTCGTCTTTCACACTTTCCACAACGGAACCGGGCCGTGATGCTTCCTTAGATGCAGGTAGAGACTTTTCATCCTTCAAGCTTTCTGGTTTCGCACTCTCCGCATCTGATTCACGTCGTGAAGGCTCTGTAGACTTTTCGTCCTTGAGACTTTCTGGTTTCTCGTGCTCGTCTTTCACACTTTCTACAACGGAACCGGGCCGCGATGCATCCTTAGATGCAGGTGGAGACTTCTCATCCTTCAAGCTTTCTGGTTTCGCACTCTCCGCAACTGATTCACGTCGTGAAGGCTCTGTAGACTTTTCGTCCTTCAGACTTTCTGGTTTCTCGTGCTCGTCTTTCACACTTTCTACTACGGAACCGGGGCGTGATGCTTCCTTAGAGGCAGGTAGAGACTTTTCATCCTTCAAGCTTTCTGGTTTCGTACTCTCCGCAACTGATTCACGTCGGGAAGGCTCTGTAGACATTTCGTCCTTTAGACTTTGTGGTTTCTCGTGCTCGTCTTTTACACTTTCTACAACGGAACCGGGCCGCGATGCATCCTTAGATGCAGGTAGAGACTTTTCATCCTTCAAGCTTTCTGGTTTCGCACTCTCCGCAACTGATTCACGTCGTGAAGACTCTCTAGACTTTCCGTCCTTAAGTGTCTCTGGTTTCTCGTGCTCGTCTTTCACACTTTCTACTACGGAACCGGGTCGTGAAGCTTCCTTAGAGGCAGGTAGAGACTTTTCATCCTTCAAGCTTTCTGGTTTCGAACTCTCCGCAATTGATTCGCGTCGGGAAGGCTCTGTAGACTTTTCGTCCTTGTGACTTTCTGGTCTCTCGTGCTCGTCTTTCACACCATCTACAACGGAACCGGGCCGCGATGCATCCCTAGATGCAGGTAGAGACTTTTCATCCTTTAAGCTCTCCGGTTGCGCACTCTCCGCAACTGATTCACGTCGTGAAGGCTCTGTAGACTTTTCGTCCTTGAGACTTTCTGGTTTCTCGTGCTCGTCTTTCACACTTTCTACTACGGAACCGGGCCGTGATGCTTCCTTAGAGGCAGGTAGAGACTTGTCATCCTTCAAGCTTTCTGGTTTCGTACTCTCCGCAACTGATTCACGTCGGGAAGGCTCTGTAGACTTTCCGTCCTTGAGACTTTCTGGTTTCTCGTGCTCGTCTTTCACACTTTCTACTACGGAACCGGGCCGTGATGCTTCCTTAGATACAGGCAGAGACTTTTCATCCTTCAAGCTTTCTGGTTTCGAACTCTCCACAACTGATTCACGTCGTGAAGTTTCTGTAGACTTTTCGTCCTTCAGACTTTCTGGTTTCTCGTGCTCGTCTTTCACACTTTCTACGACGGAACCGGGCCGCGATGCATCCTTAGATGCAGGTAGAGACTTTTCATCCTTTACGCTCTCCTTTTTCACACTCTCCGCAACTGATTCACGTCGTGAAGGCTCTGTAGACTTTTCATCCTTCAGACTTTCTGGTTTCTCGTGCTCGTCTTTCACACTTTCTACCACGGAACCGGGCCGCGATGCATCCTTAGATGCAGGTGGAGACTTTTCATCCTTCAAGCTTTCTGGTTTCGCACTCTCCGCTACTGATTCACGTCGTGAAGGCTCTGTAGACTTTTCTTCCTTGAGACTTTCTGGTTTCTCGTGCTCGTCTTTCACACTTTCTTCTACGGAACCAGGCCGTGATGCTTCCTTAGATGCAGGTAGAGACTTTTCATCCTTCAAGCTTTCTGGTTTCGCACTCTCTGCAACTGATTCACGTCGTGAAGGTTCTGTAGACTTTTCGCCTTTCAAGCTTTCTGGTTTCTCGTGCTCGTCTTTCACACTTTCTGCTACGGAACCGGGCCGTGATGCTTCCTTAGATGCAGGTAGAGACTTTTCATCCTTCAAGCTTTCTGGTTTCGCACTCTCCGCAACTGATTCACGTCGTGAAGGCTCTGTAGACTTTTCATCCTTTTGACTTTCTGGTTTCTCGTGCTCGTCTTTTACACTTTCTACTACGGAACCGGGACGTGATGCTTCCTTAGATGGAGGTAGAGACTTTTCATCCTTCAAGCTTTCTGGTTTCGCACTCTCCGCAACTGATTCACGTCTTGAAGGCTCTGTAGACTTTTCGTCCTTAAGACTTTCTGGTTTCTCGTGCTCGTCTTTCACACTTTCTACCACGGAACCGGGCCGTGATGCTTCCTTAGATGCAGGTAGAGACTTTTCATCCTTCAAGCTTTCTGGTTTCGAACTCTCCGCAACTGATTCACGTCGTGAAGGCTCTGTAGACTTTTCGTCCTTGAGACTTTCTGGTTTCTCGTGCTCGTCTTTCACACTTTCTACTACGGAACCAGGCCGTGATGGTTCCTTAGATGCCGGTAAAGACTTTTCATCCTTCAAGCTTTCTGGTTTCGCACTCTCCGCAACTGATTCACGTCGTGATGGCTCTGTAGACTTTTCGTCTTTCAAGATTTCTGGTTTCTCGTGCTCGTCTTTCACACTTTCTGCTACGGAACCGGGCCGTGATGCTTCCTTAGATGCAGGTAGAGACTTTTCATCCTTCAAGCTTTCTGGTTTTGCACTCTCCGCAACTGATTCACGTCGTGAAGGCTCTGTAGACTTTTCGTCTTTCAAGCTTTCTGGTTTCTCGTGCTCGTCTTTCACACTTTCTGCTACGGAACCGGGCCGTGATGCTTCCTTAGATGCAGGCAGAGACTTTTCATTCTTCAAGCTTTCTGGTTTCGCACTCTCAGCAACAGATTCACGTCGGGAAGGCTCTGTAGACTTTTCGTCCTTCAGACTTTCTGGCTTCTCATGCTCGTCTTTCAAACTTTCGGCGACTGAACCAGTTTTTAAAGTTCCTTTGGAGTCCTGAAGTATTTTGTCACCCGGAAGGAGCTCTGATTTTAATATTGCCGCACTAGATTCTTTGGCTACTAAAGTTGATTGCTTTTGGGTTTCTTCCTCGGTAATATGAATTTCAACTTCAATGGCTTCTTCAATTGTTGCGGGGCTCTCGAGAGATACAGTGTCTTCACGGTCCTTAACTTTTGTCGGTGCAACGATGGGTTGCACAAGATGCGCTGGCAACTCATCTTCTGAAGTTATTTCGCTAGTTTCTTTTTCTTCTGGTGTAATTGCCAATTGTTTGTTGGTTTTATCGGTCGGTTTTTCAAGGTCCATCTCCAAATTATCGCTCTCCGAAATTGCTTTACTTACAATTTCGCTTGTTTTTACAATGGCTACCTCAGTTGTTTTTCCGTCAGATTCAAGTTTAGCGGTAATCTCTGATTTAGCAATAATGTTTTCCAAAATCTCCTGTTTTGGCTCAGACATATGATCTGCTTCATCGGCTGCTTCTATTTCCTTGACTTCCTTTTCATCTTCGGTCTCTTTCTCCTCTTTTGCCGTCTCTTCCTTGTGTGAAATACTCTTGGCACCAGCATCGTGAGTATCCTTCTCGTATAGCCCTAGGTCAGCTTCCTCATGAACCGGCAAATCTGCAACCTCATCGGGTGTCTTGATAACATCACGCATCAGACTCTGTTGGGCTTCAAATGTCATTTTCTTGGGTAAGATACGTTCCGCGGAGTCCACACCGGTGGCAAGCGGCTCAGCAGTGACCTCAATTTTGGTTTCGGTTGGAGCGATGATGGTTGATGCTGCTAACGCTGCGAGGGGAACTGCAACGGTAGCCACAACAATGGTTTCTATCTCCTTAGTTTCCTCTTTGACATATTTCTCCTCGATGACCAAATCCTCTTTGATTTTGTCCAACGGAATTCGTTCATCTTCTGGTAAGGTAGGTGCTGTAGTAGCTCCCGATTCGATGGTGGCCGAGAATTTCTCCTCTGGAAGACTCTCTTGTAAGTTTATAGGCAGCGCCTCGGGAGCTTCGATCGGTTCGTCTTTAGTATCTGACGTTTTCTTAGCGCTGCTGAGCTTATCGTCTGGCGTAGGAGAAGAAAACTCCTCCTCAACCTGTTTTGCCTGCTGGAGTTGCTCTTCAGTGCGGGACTTTACAAGGTCCTTGGCAGTGGATATGATCTCTTGAACCTCAGCCTTGATTTCGGTTTTTTCGGTTGTTGCCAGCTCTTCGTGCGTCTCATGCCTCGCCGCTTCGCTACTCTCCAGACGAGCCTTGCGCTCCTCTGCTTCAGCCTTGGCGATTGCCGCTTCGATTTCCTCCTCGGCGCTTTTCTTACGCTTCTTTTCTGATTCCTGCGAGTCGCGTTGATGCTTTTGAATCTCCTCCTCCTTTGTCATGCTGCTCTCCTGCTCTTGTTCAATAATTGAGTCCTCAGTGTACTGCTCGACCTCTTCCTTTTCAATAATCAAGTATTCTTCCTCTTCCTCGGCTTCCGTTGTGCTGTCCTGCTTGGCCATCTCGCGCAGCTCCGCTTTGATCAAGTGTTGTCGCTTCATCTCGTCGCGACTAAAGACAGCTTCTATTTCGCGCACCACTTCCTGCTCCTCCTTTAGATCGTCCAACTCACGCTGCTTTTCCGCATCTAACTCTTGCGAGGCGCTTAACTCTAGCATCTTTTTGGCAGCTGTCGCGTCATCCGCCGACGGTGTGGATACCAGGCTGGAATCTGTGGTGCCTCCTTTATCCAGACGCGACTTCTTCAAATCCGGCTTGGGCTTCGCTGATTTGATTGGGCTGCCTGGCGCTGGAGCCCGCTTGGAAGGTGACACCCCACGTGGCCTACGTGAGATAGGCTTGCGCTGCGCTGCCTGTGTCGTTGTGTGCTGCGATGTTTTCGACTCCACCTGTTGCGACTTCTTCTCCACGGTGCTAACAGTGCGACGTGTGCTGGTAGTTGTCTGCCGCGCCGACGTCGCCTGCTGCTTTGACTCAAGCACCTTGCGGTTGTTGGCCTCCTTGGCACTCTTAGCAGGTGTGCTGCTGGGACTCGACTTGGTGGTGCGTGTTATTATTTTGGGCTTGACATCACGTGTAGCAGGCGTTCGGCTTACAGCTGGCGTGGCAGTAGGCGAACTCTTTTTATCCTCACGCTTAACCAGCTTCCGGTCCATTGACTTGGGCGGTTTGCTGTCAATTCTTGAGCGTACAACTGGCTTGACTTCCGCTCGTGGCTTGTCTGGCTTGCCTTTGGTGGCCTTTGCTGTCTTGCTAGTAGCCTCCGTAGGGGGCGCGTCACCTGCATCCTTAACTGACGCAGCTGCCGGCTGCGGCTTGACAATCAAGACCTCCACTTTTTTCTCTTCGTCAGCATCCTTGTTGTCTTCCAGCTCGGCTGGCTCTGTTGAGGGAACGGATGGCTCAGGCGCTCCCTCATCACCGGTGTCGACAGCGAGCTCGGGCTCAGCTTCTGGCTCATCTGTGTCTACAGAGTCCGCTTTGGTGCTTACAATTGGTGCAGATCGGTCCACTTGTTCGCCGGGTGTTTCCGCTGAAACTGATGCTGCTGCAACCGCCACTGCAGCTGCAGCTGCAGCTGCTTCCTTAGCTTCTTTGGCCTTATTGTCCTGCTGCACAGCGACAGCGGCGATAGCAGCTGGACCGAATTTACTAGGCTTGTAACTGGCGCTGGGTGGAGTGCCCTCAATGGCAGATTTAAGTGTCTTTCTGGTGCTGGTCACGGTCTGTATAGCTGGGGCTATAGACTTGGCCGTGCATGTTGAGTGCTTCATAAACTCAAGATGCTTGAGCTTCTCCAGACCCTCCTGGATCTTAAAATCTGGTGTGCTGCCAGGAAAAAGGATGCGAGTTATGGTATCATCCGGATTAGCTGGCTGCCAGACAAGCAACGCGCAGATAGATACCAAATTCTGCAAGGGGAAGTTAAACTCCTTGGTGTCGCGTGCGGCAAACAAACGCTGATCACCCGCATTCCATTTCTGCAAAAAGTCCTTGACCTCTTTGGAATCCCGCGAAGGGCTTATCACATACATGTCCAGGGTTCCGTGGCCGACCTTGTGGTACAGATTAATAGGCTCCTGATTGCGATAACAGCACTGCGGCTTGAGGTCAAGCGATTTGAGATCATTGACGAGACCATGGCCGCGCTCAAAAAGATCGATGAGCAGCGGATTACGATCCTTATCACCATCAGGACTGGGCAGACCACCCTTCCGATCGGGAACGTTGCCAAAGAAATGCCCAATCTGTGGATAGACATGGGAATCCCGCTTGCGTGCCACCACAGCACCAAGACCCTGCACATTGCTGTTGTTCAGACGCGTCATCAGCACCGCATCAAGGCGATCCAAGTGCCGTGCAAAGTCCCAGAAACAAGCCTTACGATTAAAGCCGCCATCAACTATAAAGGTACAGAAATTACAAAAGGCTCACCCATCTTTATTAGCCGGCAACTTACCCAGCATATTAAAACCGTTGATGCCAAAGAGAGCGGCGTCACCCTGACCACCGGGAAATACATAAAGAGTAGGGTGCGTAAAACGTATATTGCCTACCACATCGGACGTCTCCAGCAACTCACGCAACGAAGTTGGCACCAGCATTGGCGCCAGATAGTCTACAATTCGTCAAGGATATAAAAATGCAGGTCTTTCAATTTGAGCTCGGGTAAGTCATACCTATAAAGCCGTTGATGTACTCGCTACTGGTGTCCAGGACATCTACCGGATTGATGCGTATTTTACACTGGCGTGAAAAAACCTTATCCGGCAACGTGTGCCACAGACCCGCATCGGCACAGTGTATATTCATCGTTATGGTATCCGCATAGGCTCGTATTACCCTTTGTACGTCGTGCTCTTGAAATGCCTCCGCAAAGTCAGCCACCGAGAAGGTGCCATCCTGCAGGGAAACACATTGTTAGCATAAGCTTTACCTCCAGCCCTTGACCCGTGACTGACCTGTAGGATCCAAGAACCGTTGCCGCTAAAGGTATAGCCGGCGTGTATAATGTGACGATGCCTCGTAAAACTGCTTAGTAGATTGCGCATACATTGTATAAGCGTGTTATATTGCGGATGTATGAGCACCTCCGTCACAAGATTCTCGCTGGCATACTGTATAAGTCGCTCACCTGGAAGTTTAAGAAGAGAAATTCCACGTATAGAGGTAACATATGACTCCCATTCATTGTCAATAAGCTGAAACCGATTAAACAATTCGAATTAAAGCTTGGGAAAACATTAGAAAACAGGGGAGAAAATAAGCACGCTTCTAGTTTATTTCTGTTCAAGCATTCTTTGCTCATCTCTTAAATTATCAACTGCCCACAATTTTGCTTGGTTGGCAAAGAAAAGCTCTTAAAATCATTAATATTTAGTTAGGTGTGTATATATGGAATGTGCTTGCGTGTAATATATTCAAGTAGCTCGTTTGGTCTTTAGAGCTCCCAAGGAGCTCCCGCTCTCGCCTATCTAGCGGTCTCTACTGCCAGCCACGCAGAAATTTTATTATTTGCGTTAAGCCTGACTCAGCTAACCGAACAACTGGTCGGTCGGTCGGACGCTGGGTTTGTTGGTTGGTGGATTGGTTGTTGTAGTTGTCTAGTTGAATTACCATTCAACGTTAACCCACCGAGCGCACTAATGAATAGCTAAAACGTCGAGTGGCAAGCGAACAAGGGGCTTGGATTACCAAACGCTTGTGTCCCGGCTAGAGAATCCGAGCATTAGGCACGCACACCAAATCAAGTGGCTTTAAATTGCCAGACGTTGGGTGGACGGCGAGTTAAGTTGGCTTTATTGTCAAGCATTTTATTTGCACTTGTCCCACAGCTGCAGTTCAGTGAAAATCATTTCATAAATCTTTAATTTTTATGGTTTAATTAAGATTTCCAGTCAGCTCTAGCGCTGACTATTTGGTCAGCTCGTACCACAAGCCGAGGCATGCGACCTTGCTGACGACCTTGCCATGTGATTTGCTGTCAACCATCATGATGATGGCCATCGTCATTGGATGAGTGGCCTTTTCTGGCCTATGCCAGCACTAAATGTTTTCACAGCGTGCTGTATGTAAATAATTTACGCATTTTCTGCACTAAATAGTCGTTGCCAAAGCCCAAAAATCGGGCGCACATGCCATGTGACAGCCTACACAAATATGTGCACACACACATTCCAAATGTATGTGTGCACATTACGTATACGCCACGTCGGCCTAACGTTCAAATGTGCCCACGTACGCGTAAAAAAAGCGACGAGCCATCGAGCTTGAAGTGCGCCCAAGCGTGCATCTACGTATGGCTTCACTCAAGCTTGCCGCCTCCCAGGCGTTCTGTCTGTCCGGCTGTCCGGTTGTCCGGCTGCTCCTACCATTCGCAGGTCCGCATGTCCCACATGCTTTTTATAAATGATAATCTTAACAGCGACCTGCGTGTGGCTTTTATTTATCAGACCTATGCACACACTCTCGGATACAAACAAAGTACTTTTTTGTGTGCGTTTCTGAAACGCAGTGACATATATACCCGCATATTGCGGTCTGGGTGCGTATTTAACGCATGCGGCACCCGTGCGTATACGCAATTTGTGAATTAAGGTTGGCAACATTCGCGCATTTTCTTACTGCCTCAACAGGCCTCGGCAGGCGCGTGACAATTTCGAGTCTCATAAATAAAGCGCGGTTAAAGCATTTGCATCTCATTAACCTCATGAAGGCAGCTGCTAAGTGTCATTTTGTATAAATCAAATCGAATGAAGGTTAAACATTCCAGACTTTTTGGTGCTTTGACGAGTTCAGTTCAAGGCTGTTTAAGAGAATAGAAATGGATCTGGCAATATTATTTTGGTTTGACATGTGGTTGTCTTTCAAAGCTAGCTTGTAAATTATAAATATACAAAAGAGATTAAACATGACTTTATTGTCGAGCATTTCACTCGCAGTTGTCCCACAGTTCAATGAAAATCATTTAATAAATCTTTTCTTTGCGTCTAAAGGTGACAACATCTAACCTGACATGAAGGAGCTAACTCCGTGTTGGTAACTTTTCGAATGATATATCCGCAATTGAACGATATCTTATGATTTGCTTGAGAAGCGTAGCGGAATTCCATTATAGCTCTAAGCGTCTTACAGGTAAGGGTCTTAATAGCTAGTAAATATTAAATATGAAAAGGCATTCTGTATACAGTTGGAAACTGTACTTGTGTTGTTGGCTTAGCCTTCTTATGCAAGTCGCCTTGAAAGTATTTAAAGCTTCGAATGTCCAACTACAAATGTCACTTAAGAACTTGGCTTGCCAAGCTAGAAAACCACAAAGACTGTACAGAACAGATACGTACCAATAGGCCTGAGTGCCAGATCGGGCACTCAATGGCAACGCAAAGTTTGAAAGCCACATACAATGGAAAAGTTGCATCAACTTGGTGGCAAATACCGTCCACAACCCAGCACCCAATCGCCTTGGTTCCCAGCATAATAAAGGCAAATGGCGACATGAATGCAGTTCAAAAAAAAAAAAAAAAAAAAAAAAGCCTTCCGCACAATGTGCCAGCCAGTACTCGGGTTTGTGTCAAGTGCAGTTTTTCGCATTGCAAAGCCCATTGAAAAGTTTTCGCGCGCTGGCCACACCTATCCAAAATGGCGAACGCCAGATTAACCGTTAATAACTGTACTTTAATGCCTACGCTCGGTATGCTGCCAAGTTTTGAAACAAAGCAAATTTGCATAACAACAGGCGGAAACTTTTTGTGTTTTATGATTTCTCTCTTTTTATTTTGTTCTTCTATTCCTCTTGTTTTGCGTTTTTTTGTTATTTTGCTTATTTTTTTTCTGTGCCGGACTGCAAAGTAATTACAGTTGGCGCCGGTCACCACCCGGCACTGAAGTCCTTCTTCCCGCACACCCCTTCAAACGAAAAATGTCGAAAAGTTTGCTGTGAAGCCGGCGTGCAAAAGGGCGCACGTGTAAAAAAAGTTTCCAAGAGCCATTTTTAGTATCAGCCCCCGTAGCCCCTGAGGGGCACTACATTGAATTAAAATTTCGTAGTTTCATGATGGATCTATCTATCGCCGGAATAGGACAATCTACTAAGGCATTGTCTGGGCTAGTCTATCATAATTTTCCATATCAATTATGTATTGCACTGCATTCAGAATGGGTATATATACATATATATATACATATATATATATATATATATGTCCGGAATATGTAGATCAATCGACTAAGGTATTTCTTAGGCAAGTCAATCATTTTTATACCCTGAACCCATTGAAAATGGTTAAAAATGGTATTATGTATTTGTGCAAATGTATGTAACAGGCAGAAGGAAGCATCTCTGACACCATAAAGTATATATATTCTTGATCAGTCGATCTAGCCATGTCCGTCTGTCTGTCTGTCCGTCTGTTCGTCCGTCCGCTTGTCCGTCTGTCCGTATGTATGAACGCAAGGATCTCAGAACCTATCAGAGCCAGAGACTGAAATTTGAGCTGTAGGTCGTCCTAGTACCCGCGCAGATCGAGTTTGTTTCCGATATTCGATAACTTGCCCCGTTTCCAAGTAATCGATAAAAATCGATATCGAAATCCTGTTTTTTGAGCAATTTCAGCAAATAATATGAGCTAGAGTCACCATACTTGACATGTAGCTTCTAGAATAGTATATATATATATATCAAGTAACTTTCATTTTATACCTATCGCATGTTGGAAGAAGACGGTTTAGGCTATTCCCTAGTCGGGAGCTCCCGACTAGAACCTCTTACTTGTTCTGTATCCAGGATGTATTGGGAAAGTTCAGAGAATGTTAAAATAAGGGATACTTTGGAAAAAGTAATATAAAATGTAGGTTCTGTAGTTTAAGACCTAACAGAAAATATAAGAAAATTGAGAGTTTATAAAAAAAAATGGGATTTAGGGACTTATTTTGCATGATTTGCCTGGGCACGAACTCTATTGATCCTTTGAAGATTTTGAATGAGAAATATGATAAAAAACTAATTTTTCTGCTAAACATTAAGTTTGTTGTAAAACTGTGATATTTTTAAGATATGCTTGCAATATTTTTAGATTCACCTGACGGCAAGGTCAGCTACTGTGCAGCATACTCAGCTGACCCTGCCAGTAATTTTATCCATGGGCTAGCCGGTGGTTATGTGTTATTTGGCTCATGCGTTCTGGGACTGGCTTAAAAGCCAGTTAACGAATTACCAGCCTGGCTGCACAATTGTGTATGCAGCCAGTGCTCGGCAATGGGCTTATTCAAATAGGTATTCACGCTTCAGAGGGGCATTCGCGTTGATTTATTCAATTTAAATGCGCTTTATACAAAAAATAACTGGATGATGTATTTTAATTAGTTTGTCGCGAATTGAATTCAATTACTATATGCAGTGGCACGCGGCTCTAGCCCATTTTTAATGGCGTCTATCAGACGTATGCATCATTAATCATAGATCAGAAACAAAATCTGTATGCTGCCGATGCTGATGATGTTGATGATGCGGCGTCTCTAGTTAGGTGTTAAACAAACCCAATAACATGTTGTAAGCGTCAAAGCTTTGGCAACTGGCCCAGTTGTCTGGTCTACCCCATCAACCCCAGCTCGGTCCTCTTCTTCTTTCGCTTGTCCAGGCCGCATAATTAAAAGCAATGCAAAGCGCGACCAGATACCCACAGAATGTCCCACGTCAGCTGTTCTGTGTGCCTTGGTTTGGCTTATGTTGTTCAGCCAGGCTCATGTCACGGGCATCATTGATAAACGTCGCTGATATGGATTGACGCCTGTCAGCATGCCTTTCACGTCCATGTGAAATATGGCATCAGACCAAGGGTGGACGAGGAGCGTCTCGTGATTCAGCATTTTAGTTGGACTCAAAGTTTTTTTTTGTTTTTAAGTTTAAATTCAAACTGTGAACCTGTGCTAGCTGAAGTGTTGAAAAACTCAAGATGAATTCAAGAGTATCGACAGTTTGCTATCGATTGTTTTTAATGTTATCCAGCATTGCTGGAACTAGCCATCTTTTGAATTTGCTGAAAGTAAGTTCTTAAAATTTGACTGGTTTTAAGAACGTATACGTTTTGTTAAAAAAAAAAATATACTCCCTTGAGAATATTCTAAGTTAACGACAGTGTTGAACAACTTATCAAATTCTGTACTGCTAGGAAAAGTGTTGCGGAACTGACGGAGATACAGGCAAGATATTTCTCTGTCCAACGGTATACAACATTTTTCAATCTGCTCAATCTGAATAAAAATCGGTATAGGCACTATATAGAAGCACTATATATAGAAGATGCTGAATGGATTGGCTATATTTTTCCTATATGCCTGATAACAATATTTTTTAAAGACCGGAATCAACAATGTTTGTGTAAATATTCTCGATATATATTTACTTTATCAGTTGGGATCCACTTCTTGACAGATTTTGGTTATGATCAGCTCAACATAACTCAGCAGCTAATATATTATTGGAGCAAGTGTACTGAATATTCGGCGACGCGAAATTATTGCCCCTCCATAGTTATATATTTTCTTTTATTTTTGAGCTGGTATACCCTTATTTGCTTATCTCTGCTGCCAGATATGTCTCTGGCAAGCATCTCGCTCAGTTGGAGCGTACAGCTATTCTTGAAGTGGGAGTGTACGGATGCAAATTTGTATATGTAAGTGTGTGTGTGTGTGTGTGTGTGTGTGCATGACTGACTGTCCGACATTCAGCTATTTGCCTAAGTTTTGCCTGCAGGGGCGTTGGCGCGACTATCTTATTGTATTTCTTTCTCTTATTTCTGTGCCATCCCATCCATGGGCTGTGCTTGAATTATGCATGAGCAGCACAGCCGTTGTCAATATGGCCTTGTCTGTTATACGTGTGTGTGCGCGCGTTAGTATTTGAACGTTTAACTGTATGTTTGCCAGGCTCTATCAATCAATTTTTGCATACGAATTTGTACGGCTTTAAAGGTTATGTGTGTGCTTATGGAAGCTTAGCAATCGAAACGTGTGCAAAGCTCAATCTGACGAGTGCCGTAATTTGCTAACAGTTGATAATTCTACGGTTGCATTTAGTAATCACAAACTAACGAGTGCCGTAAAAGTATAACGAGTGGCGAGTAATGAGTATTGAGAGAGAACAGACCAACGAATACCGTAAGAGTGCATCGAGTGGCGAGTAGCAATTATAGCGAGTGAACTAACTGCACGTTTTTAAATATTGTGATCACTTGAATATGCTACAAGTGCAACAATGAAGTGAACATGCCTTTAAAGTAAACCGAGTGTGAGTAACAAGTGCACTCTGAAGTAGCAAGTATAACCGTTAGGAAGCTGCTCTTAAAACTACAGAGTATCGACTACGTAATAAAAAAAATGTTAGTCGTGACGAGTGACGAGCAAACACGTCTGAAGACCTTGTTATTTGTGATCAGTTGAAAAAACAGCAGGGAATTCAACTTTGAAGCAGCGTGTAAATAGCTTATAAATTGCAAACTACGAATATTGTGTTAGTACAACGAATGACGAGTGCTTTTAATGTCAGCTGCCAATTGTTGAAAGAAATTATTGAATTGAATGATATCTGATTAGTTTAGAGATTGCAATGTCGCTTACGCTATCGCTAAGTACCAGCTAAATAAGTTAGCTAGCTAGCAAGCGTAACAAAGTCTGGCTCTAATGCATCTTTCCTTTTTGGATCATAAATCCCGGTGTCAACTTAGTTATATTAATGCTGCGGCTAATCAAGAGAATAAATAGAGGTAACTTGCAGTTGCCCAATACTTCGGGCCAGTTTCAGAATACTTATGAATAGCTCGATGCCAAGCAGGGTTTTTTATGCCACAACTCAAATATAATCGCAGCACTGAGGGGCGTTTGTGGCAGTTGCACGCGCAAAGTTTTAGCAGCGAACTTTGCCAGGTCCCACAAGCAAACTTAAGTAAACTGCATCAAATTCAATTTTTAAGCATAACTTTGTCGGGGATAATGAAGGACGACGCCGTGATGAGTATAAGCTACAAAATATAAATTATGCGCTTGTTAACAAATGTTGGTAATTGCTCCTGCCCCCCTCCGTCTGCCCCTTGACTAGCCCCTCCACTGCATCGGCTGAAAAGGAGCTTTCAAGATGACAAGACTTTATACAAAACATGAAAGCCAAGGCATACAGGAAACGTTGAGGACCTCGCTAGTTGGCAGTTGACAAGGGCCAACAAAGCAGCGTTAGGTAAACGATAGCTGGACACTGGATAGTAAGAGGCAGGATGCGGACTGCAGGGCAACGCTTTGTTGTGGAGGTGCTGACGTTTATCGACTTGCCGACGGCTGGCTGCGCCCTAACCTTTGTCAAATAAGAATGCCCCTCGAAGTCTCTGTCATGCAAAAAGCGCCAGGCGATCCGTGCCCAGCTCGCCAGCTCACCAACTAGCCAGCCTCGGCAGCTGCAGCAACATTTTAGAAATTCAGAACTTTAGTGTTTTTTTCAAATGCACTTGAATTGCCCGGCTGGTCGCGTCCTTCGCCAGGGCCTAGTCTGATGGACTTATGGCATCATTATTGAGCTCTCGGCCGGTGCGTGCGCCCGAGCACTTGGGAATTTTGTTTGAGTCGTTTTTTGCAGCAGTGTAAACAACAAATTGGAATGCGGAATACACTTTGCCCAAGTCCTTGTTCTGGACAATGGCAGAAAGGCATTGAGCGCAGGTGCTGGTCTTGCACTTACCAACCAGCCCAAGGACAGTCTCCGTGCATATCATTGACAACAGGCGCTGCAAAGTATGCTACACATTTTTATTTCCATTATTATGCTGTACGCGCTACTGCAAGTTCGAAGCAGCCAACAGCTATTATTTTCGCAAACTATTTTCAATGTTGAACTTACGCAAGTCGAAGTTGTTTTACAACACTGCAGGGGAGTAAAATCAATTTGTAATTTTGTACATGACATGAGAAATAGCAGCTTGAATAAAACATTGCCTGAAACTTTAAATTTAATTTGTCTAAAACATGCTCGCAGTACGGCGTTTGCTCTCCCCAAAAATGTAATTCTTTGACTTTATCGACTGTTAAGCTGACAGGGTTTCAGACTTATTTAATAATTAAGGATATACATGGCAATAACTACTAACATTGCTATCCATGCAAGAATTAATTAAAACTGAAACCTGTCAATAACTACTAACATTGCTATCCATGCAAGAACTAATTAAAACTGAAAGTCCTACAATCCAGAAATTTGAAGTTGGACAAATTTAGCGGACGTCCAAGTATTTCATGTCAATATTAACTCCATGAACAACAAGCCTTCGAATATAAATTAAAGAGTAAGTTGATGGTTTCAATTCTCAAGAAGTCAAAGCTTCGAAACGAAGAAGTCGATAGCCATAATAAGTAGAACCGAGAGGTTCTCGAGTCGCCTAGCTTAATACTAAGCTTAATATTAGCTCTTCAAAGCGAATCTGCACTCAACGAGTGTAAAAACCAACGAGCAGATAAGTAACTAGTGCTACTTGCGTGATATTTGCATCGGCTGTCAAGTGCAATTTTTATAACCCATGTAGCATGTAAGTCTACAAGCAAACTTGCGTTAATTTCTGCACAGCTTCTATTTGTGCAACAACAACAACAAGAACAAGAACAATAATAATGACAAGAACATCATCAGCAGCAGAGGGCACACAAACAGCAATAAATGAAAGAGGAGGCAGCAGCAGAGGGACTGTGAAAACTGTTCACCCGATGCAGTGCAGCCACTTGAATGCATTTCAACAACGTTGTCCCGACTAATCCGCAAAGACAACCAGATCCGAGAGGCCCGCACAATTCTCGACACTCGGCTGGCTGTGTCATATTGTTGTTCTTATTGTCGCGGCTGCCGTTGCACTGGGGCAAATGAAAATGAAAATGAAAATGCGCCGCTCTCCGATTTGGATTTATTTTAACACAAAAGACCCATACACACAGAGCTGGAGCTTTGGATTTGATGAATGCCAATTGTCAAAGCTGTTGAAAGACAATTGTCATAATTTCTTGGAATAACAATTTTTTTGTTATTTTCTGCTGCGCACTGAAAAGTTAAATAGTTGAATAATTGCAGAGTCATCATTCGAAATTCATTTGCAGCACACGCTATTTACATTTCGCGCTGTCAATTTGAACTTTTCAACTCGTTTGACTGCAAAAAATAAGGGAAAATGAACAGCAAATTGTAACTGGAAAAGTCAAATAAATTGTTATCAAGTTTCTCATTAGCTTTTTAACAGCTGAATGCCATTTATTACTATTAATAATATAAATTTTTTTTCTTCTTCACTCTAATGAGCTGCCAGCTCGACAGCTTTCAATTGCGTTCACCGTTCTATTAAATTTGTTGTTGGCCCAATTTGCTGACGGTTCGTTTTTGATTGAATGGGTTTCCATTCATTTGACATTTGACTTACCGTGACGCGCTTCCTCGCCCTCGGGTGCATGTTGTGTAATTGTATTGAGCTCCTCCTCCAAGTCGACATGACAATCGGATACGTCCCAGGAGAGGAAACCTGCAAGTGACAGAAGCAGAGATCAAAAAAAGCAGGGTTTAGTCGCATATAAAAAACCATCACAGAAAGCACTTTGATATAAAAAGATTGAATCGATTTGTGTAATGAGCTGAATGGCTTAATAGCCGATATCAGTGATGCCAAAGTTAAGGTTAGATTTATTTTATTATATTTAGGAGTTTGTAAAGAAAACTTTAAGGTCATATTAAGCCCTAAGATTCGATTTGGATGACTTAAAGCTTTTGGATATTTGGTACGAATAAACTAATTGGAAGCTTAAGCTTTAATTAAATATCTCACATAAAGCTTAAAGCTTTTTAGAAGTCTTGTGCCTATGCTGAAGGGTAAGCTCAAGCTTTGAAAGCACATTAAGCTTGTGTTACCTCTACCTTTAAAGGCCTCATTATACCTTTATTTGAAGCTTTAAAATGTATTTTGATCAGCTTTAATTTACTTTCTTTTATTTTATTTTTACTGTCACAATATAGATTCATGCGAAAAGCTTCAGCTTTCAAAGCACTTCAAAGCTTTTATCAAGATTATTCCCACAGCTTAAGCTCTTCCGACTGATTAATGTCTCAGCTATGCTAAAAACGTTGCCTTTGACAGACCACAATTAATTGTAAAGGCTTTAAACTTCGCATCTTTTATGACCGAATTACTTTGCCATTCAATTTTATTCATTGGGCAGTTAAAGCAAGCTTAAACATAATTGCTCTTATTAAATATTAATATTGTTTCAAACAATGTATCAATTAAGCTTTATGCGATTTCTTTAAAAGCCTTATGCCTTGTAGCCATAACAACTGAAGTTAATTTTCATTGAATTTTAATAGCCGCACAAGTTTAATGATTAGGCAAAGTATACATTAACTTAGGCTCGTGTTTCTCAGGTTTCAATGCTAATTGCTGGCTTGCAATTGCACTCATTAATTAAGACATGTACTTGGACAGACATGAATGTGCATGTTGGCATTATGTTCGGAAAATAACAATGCATATTATTAACAAGTCTATATGTATTAGGGCAATGCATATGTTATACACAAGTTAATATGTATAAACTTTATTCGCCAGTAGCGCTTGTTGACCAGCTGTCATTTTGTTGCTTAAGCTTGACGCTGGCTCATTTATCAAAGAGCGTATATTAAATATATATACATTATATTATAGTTTATACTTATTCATTAATTTTACAATTACATAATGTGTCTGTTGTTTTTGTAATTTGTTGGCATTTTGATAAATGGCCAACATGAGAAAACAAAACGCAGAACGCAGCACTTGAGGCTCCTTTTGCGCATTACGCATACGTCATGGTGTGCACACACTCAAGCACATTAACTGTGTGTGTGTGTGAGTGTGTGTGTGTGTGCGTCAGGAGTGTTGCCTTTATTATTGTCTTTTTTTCTAGCCCCTGCTTTTGATATTTAGTTGGCTCGCATGGAATTGCTTTATGTCTAAATATAGCTACCCCATGTGCCAGTTGGCCTTTTTGGTATTATGTCATTTAGTAAACAAATTAAGTCAGCCTTCATCTACAGTCATTGTGTGGCTGTGTGTGTGTCTGTGTCTGTGTTTGTGTGTTGTCGTATGGCAGGATACTTCAGCGCAAGTATTTGCAAATACATAGACCAAAATAGTTGCCTCACCAGACCAAGGAAGTGCATCATTAGCATTTTATTTTTCAGTTGCCAGGCTTAAACCTTTCCTGTTTTATTTGCACTGGTCAACTGCAGAGCTCTCCAATTTGCACAGAATAAAATAAATGTTTAGTTGCCATTAAATTTCTGCCAAGTGTGCTTGCATTTGTAGCTGCTGTAAGAGCTCTCGACTCCTAATTGCTGAATGGTCTGGCTTTTTTTCTGTATTTTTAATATAGTTGTTATATGCATATTCAAACAGACTCGTACTGTTGAGTCTTATTTGCAAATGGTTTCATTTCACCGTCTCGAGGCATAACTGCAAATTATTTCCAAGTCACGGCTGCTTTTGGAATTTAATGAGCAGCAGATAGACGAGCATTCGTACTCCCTGCCATGAATTACTTATTATAATGATGCCTTAATGAGCGCTTAACTTTCATTTTTGATGCCGGAATACTCTAGACTGCCTGACGTTAATGCGCATAAAGCTCACACAAATGAAGCTGTCAACTCAGGCAACGTGTTTGCCAGGACCACAAGGCATAAAATTTGCACATACAGGCTGTAATCTCTTCTTCTTCTTCATTTTTTTCTTCTTGAACCTTCTTGATTGCTTTATGCCATTAAGCATGAATAACCATGTGAACCAGACAGACAAGGAACACGTGCGATTTTAAAAATTTTCAAGTGAAAGTCTTAACTTGAAATTTGTATTTTGAACAAGGCTGCAAATCGGTTATGCACCGAACCGGTCCGATCTTGGAATATGAAACTTATTTTTATTCTGAATTGATACGAAGCCAAATTAGTTGCCCAAAACTAACTGAACTGAGCTCTTAAATACATATTTTTCTTACACAATGTCAAACAAAAAGTCTAACTCATGAGAACATACAACTAGCTACTAATAGCCACACATTGTAAACAATTTCCCTGGCATTCAATCTAATTGTCAACTTTAACGAACTGTTTCGAGCAAATTTCTCTTCAAGCGTCTTCACTCATCAGATTCGATAGTCAGCAAAATTGCTGACGTCGCTTGGATCCCTGAGCCCAGTTCAACAAATGGTATTGTTAATGCTGCTCCTGCTGCTGCCTCTTCTTCTTTCTCTTTGGCTGCACACTATTGAGCAATTTGCACAAATGGCTGGCAACAGCAACAAAAGCCAATGGCACAGAACAAAATTCAACAAAAAAAAAGAAGAAGAAATGCGCAAAAACAACAACAGCATGCGGTATAAAAATGTAAAATCTTAACACTTTTCACACACACACACATAGGCGCACATGAGCCGGATCGGAATATTGTGCGGGCAAACAAAAAGGCGCAACAACAATAGGGATAAAGACGGAAGGGTCGTGGGAAACGCAGCACCCAAAGCCCCTACAGCGATTGCACAAAAATAATGAGGAAACGCGCTGGATGCGCGCTGCCACACACCCACACACATATAGGGTATGTGTGTGTGTGTGTGTGTGTGTTGGACGCTCTCTTGAGCAATCATCTGGCGAATGAAGCCACTCAGACGCTGGGAACAGAGCACGGAACGTGGCTCGCTGTCTACGGCAGAGTCTGAGGCCAGGTGGCGCCACAGTGCCTTGCTGCATATGTGTGTGTGTGTGTGTGTGTGTGTGTATGTGTGTGTGTGTGTGTGTGTGTGTGTGTGTGTGTGTTCGCACAGTCATTTAGTATTTATGCGTTGATATCTGCGAGTGAGTCTTCAATTTTTCATGTGCTTCTGCCTTGGTGTGTGAGTGTGTTTGTGTGTGTGTGTGTGTGTGTGTGTGTGTGTGCCACTCTTTTATTTATTTATTTATTCTTGCACAGGTTCGCTTCAATGTCAAGTGTTTAATTTGTAACCTTTGCTTTTCGGAGCCGCTTGTTTTATTACTGAATTACGCAACCAAATGAACAATACGCTACTCGTCTTAACTAATGTCATTAATTTTAATTAAGCTACAGCAATTCTCCTTGGTTAATTACAATTAATTACAGCACTGAAATGTAAGCGTCTGAGCGATACATTTGTTGCGATGCCATTTATCACAGATATTAGCGAATTGTATATATAACCCGATATTTATCAGTTTGGTCAGAGAAAGGGGGGAGTTATCCAAAATGTAAAAAATTATGCAGCTGTGTATAATATACGAAAACCTAAATAGTAGATTTGGTCATTCCGACTCCTGGAATTTTAAAATGATGCTCAAAAAACCTCAAATAAAAATCGAATATTTATCGATCTTGCGCAAGCAATGGAAGCGGCTACCTTCAAAATTTCAAATCTCTAGCAATTGCAATCTCTAAAACAGGCAAAGTGACACTTGGAAGGACATGTCCATATCGAGTGGACATTATTTGTTGACCAAGGATTTGCTGTGCGCCACAGCGTCATTTGCAATGCGCACACAAAACTATTTTTCTGACAGTGAATTTCTTTGCTTTGCAGCGACAATACGAAATTGTATCAAGTCATTGTCAACAGCTCCGACAGTTAAAAGCAGCTGACAAGCCAAAATGTATTGAGTCAATGTCAACAATAAGCCAAATTTAATAAGAGCCAACAATACAATAAAATGCTCGGCTTAAAGTGTTGACTGCATACTTATGCTCTTGTAGAGGGTATTATAATTTAGACATGGAGTTTGTAACGCATAAAAGGAGGCATCTTCTACCCAATTAGGTATGTGTATATATTATTGATCAGTATCAACAGCCGAGGCGATATCGTAATGAAACTTTGCATCGATTCTTCTTGCCGTTGCAGGCGGTTTGTTGGAACCAGTATATCGTATGAGTAGTATATCAGCCATCGATCGAAAAAAGTAGATCTATCATAAAACACTTATTTGTGTTTGCCAAGGCATTTAAATCAAGCCTGGCGCTTACAAGTTTTATTCAGCTGATAACATCTCAGCTATCTCCTATTAAGTTCTATGAAAAAAATCGGTCAAAAAATGAGTTTTACTACGAAAAAAATATATAAATAAATTTGATGTCTAGAAGAGTATTCAATCTTCGGCTTGCCTGTAATATACTTTTGTTTATGAATAAGGCATCCTTTGATTGTGATAAGTTTGAGTCTTATTTATATTCAGCTTCTCTGTTATCCTTTGCGTTTTGTCACATAAATCAGCTTGTGCCAATTAATTACATTTCTTATCGCCAATTATGAATCGCTGTGTGCGCCAAAGTTGTTGTCTCCATCTCACTTTCTCGGTTTTTCCTCTCTCTCTACAGAGACTATCCGCAGCTCTCGCACTCGCTGTCGCACTTGCTGTGGCCTTGGGCCTTTGATTTTAATTGCCTCGGCAGCACGACAACAAGTCGGGCGCTGTTGCCAGCTCCGGCTC